ATGCCATTTGTTCTTTACGAAGCTCTGTTCCAACAGAATCTGTTCACAAAAAATGCTAGCAGACTAGACTGACAGTTAATTCGCAGAAACGAAAGTTACCGCTTGGTTGCCCAAGATTGTCGGGCTTATGTTTAATTAAAACCTTTAATTGCCTTCGATATGATTCGCAATTGTTTTTTGACTTAAAAGCGCTTTTATTAATTTGTTTTTTATAAAAATAATTTAGTACGAAGTCCTTAATCTACGGGGCCTTTATGTTTAATTAAATAATAATAATTTTAATTAAACAACAATGAAACATACTTAATCATTTATTTATATTTATTAAATAGTAGAAACGTACGTAGGTAACCGAAACCAAATTACGGTTATATACATATATAACATTGAAATAATTTCACCTTTTTTGAGGTCGTTTAATTATTTTAAATATCTAATTAAAAAAAATGGTGATATCAGTGAAAATTATATTTGGAATAATATAAAACCTAAAATCGCCGGTGATAACATAACGGCTCCTGCAAAGCATTTGTAACGTCGGGCCGTAGTTAAATGAAATTAAAAATAAGTTAATATGTTCCGCGTTTTAAACCGTTAAGTGTTTTACTTCAATCTACTCGGGTAAAATATAGACAATATTAAGATTTTTGAATTAAACTTTTACTTAGAAGTTAGTGCGCAAATTTTTCCTCTTTCATATGTCTTTTCTGTGTATTATTAATAACTAGCGAACCGCCCGATCGATGCGCGAATGATTTGTGGCCGCAAGTAAGGTGATACGTGGGTCAAAGACCGGTTCGCGTTTCGGATGAGTTCGCCGTTCTGCAGGGTCCAGGGCGAGGCCAAATGACCTCATCTTTGTACCTACTCTATCTAATCTAGCGGTCATGTAATCGCTGTTTACCCTTTACATGCACAAGTCACTCTAAGGATCGATAAAGATTTTTACTAACTATATTACATGCTGTAAGCGGAAAATCTCTTTTCACGTTAGACTCGACGGCGGTAGTGATTTGTGTCTGTCTATGTAGCTACACTATAGAGCTTAAAATATGGAATAGATATAACGAAACGAAACGAAAGTTAAAATTAATTAAAATTTTTAATTTACGATATGATACGATAACAACGGCGCTTTGCAGCATACGAAACGTCGAAGCTGTTGTTAAAATGAGTTTAACTAATATATATATCTGATTTAAAACCGTTAAAGTGTTTTATTTAAATATGTATGACTCGTGTAAACTTCAGACAATACTTATTTTCATTATATAGAAGGGTATTATAGTTGGCGTCTGGTTCTTTGTTCAAGAGAAAAGTTAATATCGTTATAATTGCGTCGAGCCTTGAAGGTCCACATGAGATGTGCTAAGGTACAAAAACACGAAACCCGAGTCTACAAAGGGCACCGCACTCTGAGCTTCGCTTTTAGGGTTCCGTATTAAGAGTCAAGTGTATTTTTTTAAGAACCGCGGTAGCTAGAGAGTTTAAAATTTATAATAGGGGGGCGGGGGGGGGGGGGGGGAGTTGTGTTTATAATGTTTTTACTTGAGGTTTTCCAAACTAGATAGATATAAAGATGTTAACGGAATAAATTCTCTTATTTTTTTATTAAACCCTACGAGTCCGATCGCACTTGGCCATTGTTATTGCTTCTCTTTTAATTTGGCGTTTTCACGTTTCACCTTGTTACAGTAACATTTCCTTTGGTAAAACCGTGTGCGTGCATTGATACGTCTCGATGGGTTTTCTCTGAATGTCTGGCTTGTACGGAATAATACGTCTTCGACCGGTATTTCTGCATTTGAAATGATAATTGTTCTTATTTTTCATACTTCCAAGAATATTCAATATGTAATTGTTATAGTGGGTGCAACATAATTGTTTATGTAAAGGTTTTTTAAAGTATCATCCCTACGTAACGCGACATATATTAGTAAACCTATTTTAACTACGGCCCGACGTTTCAGATGCTTTGCAACAGACGTGGTCACGAAACGCTAGGCTGTAGTTAAAATAGATTAAAAATCAGTTTAACTAAAATGTAACACGTTATAAACCATTATGGTTTTTTAATGTGTACCTACTACTCGCGTGATCTACAGACTTTTAAACTGTTTAAAACGCGAAATAAACCCGCGGCGAATGCTTCTGTAAAGCGTCCAAAACTACAGATATTTTACGAATAAATTTACTAATATATCGCGTTTTAAACCGTCAAAAGTTTTATAAGATTGTTTAGGAGTAAGGTTGTATATATTTTTAAAGTAATTGCTGTAAACCTATAATGTCGAAAGCAATAAAAAGTTCTGGAAGTTTTCATTTCATTTACGAGAAATTATTAAAAACTTGTGCGCGTTTGTGATTTCGACTTTTCCATCTCTTGGGAAATTAAAAAGTTTAATAAAATCCTCGTATAAATTCTTTGCTAGTGTTTTTCACCTAAAGTTCTCGTCCAATTATAAAGCTCGAATGTTACAAAAGTATGCAATGCTATAACAATAACATCGCCGTCAGCTGAAAACGAACACCTTGAAAATGTAAATCTTGTAAAGCGTCTTAAAATTCCGCACAGCGTATTCAGCGGGTCGAATTCGACGATTCCGAGAAACTATCAGCCATCGGCCTTGCGGTGAAACATCGTTCAGATGTTTGTTTTACTTACAAACGGTTCAAAAACGGCGCCCGCGCAGCGTCTCGCAAGAATCGATGTATGCAAAAGATCCGTTCCGTGAACGATTTACAGCTGGTTACGCCGAATTATTGGAACGTAAATATTTAGATTCTTGGATTCGCTGAAAATTAAAGGCGCAGGTGGCTGAAGCCTCCGAAAGTCACGGTTTTCGAGTTAGCGAGAGTTAAATAACGTGAATGTGGGGGCGACTCTCAACTTCGCGATACAATGCTCGTCGGCGTATCGCAAGTTATTTACTAGGTATGTCCGCGACTTCGCCCGCGTGGGTTTTTATTTTATTTATATGAATTTTACCTGTTACCCACGACGTCGTACAAACGATAGACATATACTGTCGCGGATATTTTTTTAGATCATTCAAAGAGAGAAAAACAATCGTTTATACGTGTTTTTTTTTTTTGGTTTCTTGAACCGTTTTTGGTATACACGCAATGGAAATTCTCGAAAATGAATAATCTAGTTCTAGTATTCCGGTTCCTTCCACTGTTTTCACTGTGTCTTCGTATTGATCACAGCGTGGTGTATATATACACAGCTATATAGCCAAAAGTCTCAATAAATGATCTGTTCAACATAAAGATAATTTTAACAATCTAACGAGTAGTTCCCGAGATTAGGGCGTTTAAACAAACAAACATCATTTCAGCTGTATAATTCGATTCAGCCGTTCAGTGTCCACTGCTGGACATAGGCCTCCCCCATAGGCTTCCAGTAGGCTTCCAGTACGACCGGTCGTTCGCTAGTTGAATCCAGCGTTTCCTTGACCAGGTCGTCAGAAATGGTAGCCAGATCTCTGCCGGTGATTCTTAGCACCCCCTGCCCCGCAGTTACCATGGCCGCTACCGTAGCCAGGACTAACGCGGCTGCTGGGGACTGGGGGCCTGGTGCTGGTCATACTTTCCATTTTTGGGGGGTATATGCCAATACTCGCCACGCTTGGCAGACGGGTTGGCGAGCGCAGTTGGATGGCTGAACCGCGAATGAACGCTGCTGCCCGTTCATCGGTTTCTATCCCTTAGTCGCCTCTTACGACACCCACGGGAGGATATGGGGGGGGGTACTATTCTTAATCCGGCACCACACGGAGAGCTGTATAATTAGTATAGATTTATTTGTGTTATTACCCAGGGTATGTAACACCTACGTGATGCGCGCATATTCTTCTTGGATTTTAATTTGGGTGTGTTTTTAGATTTGTAGACAGCTAGAGATAAATTCCATGTAAATCTAGTAGCCATCAGATGACTTATGTGTCTTTGGAGAAAAAGGATCAAAATTAATAATTTTATCTGTATGTATGTTTAAACGTTGTTAAAAATCGATCGAACGATTATAAAACGTAAATATAGTTTGTTGAGTTTTTTTTAATTTGTGTCCGATTCTCGGTTTAGATTTTCGTAGCCTCGAGAATAGCCCCCCTCTTCGTGGAATAAATGTCATCGACAGATGTTGATAATACCTACACGGAGCCAAAGTGGCTCTTTTCTACGCCGCTCTTCCCGCTAGAATGACTATTAGTAATTACGGCGAAACGTTTCCTGTAATAGGCGTGTGGAATTGATCGTAGCAAATAACAATCCTAATAAAACGTGTGTTTTTTGTCCGGCCGATGTGCTTGCGGACAAATAGTTGTTTACCAAAAAGTATTTATTGTTCCCGGTTCACAGTGTGGGGCGTGGGGCAGATAGGTTTGGGAATTTATTTACTGGCAATAAGGCTCGAATCGAAAGTATTTGTTTGTACACACTTTAGTGTTTGTAGGTTAGAAGTTGTACATGTACTTTCAAATGAAATTGAATTATTGTTTGTTATACAATAAATACTATTTACTTAAATACTGTCTATAGTTTACGCGAGTAGTACACATTTAAAGAAAACACTTCAACGGTTTAAAACGCGATATAAACGTCGGGCCGAAGTTAAAAATCATTTTCAAATAATTTTAACTAATATATCGCGTTTTAAACCGTTAAATTGTACTATTTATTTCCCAAACAAAGAAACTGGTGCGACACCTCCCCATTCCCATGTTTTAATTGTAGTTTCAAAATGTCAATTTTAATTATTATATTTATAACTTAAAATTGAAACAAAACTATTTTCACATATCATTCTACACAATGGCTTTATTAAAATGGAAAATTTTATATTAAAAATAATCAATTACCCGGTCGGGACTTGAACCGGCATCTGCCGCGAAACATACCTACTGTTGCTCCAAACAATCGAGCTACCGTATCATTAATTTTTTACTTTTGCCTTCCTTTAACGTAATTTTATAAGTATATAATGTAATTTGTTTTAGGTTCAAAGACGGCGTGGCATATCCATGGTCGGCCGGGGTATCTAATCTGATATTATACCCAGAGGCAGCCAACCAGACCCTGTACACCAGGCGAGCGGCTCGCTCCGACTCGGGAAACTACACCTGCCGCCTCAGCAACGAAACACACAGCGAAACGCACACAGTCCGTCTCGATATTTTAGGTAAGTAGTAAGTACACATTTAAATAAAACATATTAACGGCTTCAAACGCGATATATATTAGTTTAACCTGTTCGAAAATGATTTTTAACTACGGCCCGACGTTTCGGATGCTTTACATCGCGTTTTAAACCATTGAACTGTTTTATTTAAGTTATTAATTTTTTAAAAGTACTGATTAATTCTGATGACTGCGTACTCAATCATGGCGGTCGAATTATCAATTTATTTCGACGATTTAAACTTGTAACTCCGTTCGGAAAATCATTGTTGGGGTTGGTCACGACCCTCAAGATTGAGGAATACGACTCAAGGAGGAGTAAACTTGTAACTCAAAGTCCCTAATTAATGTTTTATGCTTATTAAAAATCATCGCGAAAACAAAATGAATTTATTTTGAACAAGTTGTGTTCATCAATAAGTTGTAAGTCAATGGCGGTTTCTTTAGCAATGTATCAATCAACTGGCCGTGGGTTCGATCGCCACGGGGTCCAACCTTTTTGTAATCAATAAACAATGTTTCTGAAACATGCTCTTTGCTCGGGTTTCGGCTACCGTCAGTGGATTTTCGAAAATCCAAAGACAAATAAAAGTAGATTGAAAGTTTTACCATTTTATTTAAATGGAGTATTTTACCTAACTGTCAAGTGCTGATCCTCCTTCCTATTAAAAATATCATGTAGTAGTTCTCTTTCTTCATCAATGTATATTTCGCTGAACCATGTTTGTTAAATCTGTTTATAAAATCGGCGGTAGTTATATCGAAATTCCGTCCGAGTCAACCACAATCCACAGATGGATAAGCTATGGAGTGGATGTAAATTTCTACTAATAATAACATTACTATTGGAGCATTTTTTAGATAATTCATTCATAATTTTTGATACTTTGATGTTTTTTGGTTTCTGCAACGGTTAAAGCAGCGAACGCAACGGAAGCCCACGGTGGTGAATAATTTCCCCCCTTTTCCATATTTTGCACTTCGGGCCTATTGGTCGCCGCATGTTGTTACATAATCTAAAATCTAAAGCCATCCTCGATAAAGGATTTAACACATAAATACTTTTATAATTCGAACTAGTTGTTCCTGAGATGAGCGCGTTCAAACAAACAAACTTTTCAACTTTATATTGGTATAGATTGGCACTATTCTCCCAAATTATAATTTTTTTGTATAGCTAGACAACTACAAGAGATAATTAGTATTTTTTAAACAGACAGTCTATTTTCACTTTGTGAGTGTACGGTCGTGGTCGCATCGCAGTTTATCTAAGAGAGAGATAATTTCTCTACAGTGCAGCGCATTAGGGGAATTGGCTTTAGAGTTAAATAAAATGTAATAAAATGTTAGCGAGACTTAAGTTTTATGTTATTTATTTTAATAAGTATCTTTACTCCTTTATTAGCTGTGTCAGCGACTTTGTCCGCGTAGAATATTTATTTTGGGTTTCCAAATTTGTTATTGCAAACCTCCTCTTCACCTAAATCTTCATAAATTAAGCTGTTACCCACATCCGCATCTTACAACATATACCGTCCCGGACATTTTTAGATGACTTAAAGAGGATCAATGTTTTTTTTTTACATTTCTCGCTGTTTCTCCGCTTCTATAAGGTACAGCGCGATCTTTTATAGCCTTTCCCTCGAATAATGTTTTAACCAACACTAAAATAATCTTTTAATTCGAACCAGTAGTTATGGAGCTTAGCGCGTTCAAAACAAACAAACTCTACAGCTCTATATATCAGTATAGATAGCATTGTAATATTGAATTGACGGGTGACACAAAAAAGACAAAGGCTTAATGTTATTATATTTTCAATCTTCAATTATTCGTAGTTTTCTTTCGAATGCGTTTTAAGGCGTAATGAAATAAAGATGCTAGTAGGCGACATAATGTCAGGGGTCGCGAATTTAGCGTAACAACTTATTTTCTGTACTGGGTATGTGATTAGGTATTGTCTGTGGTCTATGTGAGTAGCACACATTTAAATGAAACACTTTGAACTGTTTCAAACGCGTTTTTAACTACCCGACGTTTCAAATGATTTCGGTGAGAACTGGATACCGGATGTTACTTTCATTTGTCTTATTACAATACATTTTTCATTTCAACAAAATTTACTACAGACAATACCGTTTTTAAAAATAGCAAAACATCAATCGCAGATTTTAATCGTGCGAAGCGGTCCGCGGTGTTATGACGACTGACGTAAAGAGCGAACGGACATTTCGTGGAAAACGTGCATTTTACAACTGACTTTTCAATTCACAGAAAAGCCGACGGATGCGCCAAAAACAATGTTCATCTCCAAGGATCAGTGGGTGGAGGAAGGCAGTGAGCTTCGGCTGTTTTGCGAAGCGCTCATCGGTAAGACGATATCTTTAATTATCCACTCAATAAGGCACTACCCACTAGCCGTTTTGTAGCGGTACGGTTGCAACTGTCACATAAAACACGTCAGGTCTTGTGTCGTCACTGACAGTCACCCACAACCTAGCGGGGCATAGTAACAGTCGACAGCCGTGTTGCAAAGCACCTTTTCATACCTATTTTGGCCGCGGTTATTCGGCTAGTGTGTATGGGCCCTTAGAAACCGGAGGCGGATAGAACTAGTTGAATTTTTCACCCTTATAATCATTTATGTGTAACGCCTCGTTAACTGATATAGAAAACTTTGTTTTAATAATACTAAATGCTTTAGTTAAACTTAATATTGCATAACTTTCAAGTTGACCAGTGCTATAAGAGCTGGTTCGTTGATCTAGTATCAATATATGGGTAGTAAAAACGTCTTGGTTTCAAACCCCGACGGGTGCTTTATATCCATGTGACCACTGTTTAACACATTCCTGAAATCAATTACGCTGCCCAGGCGCAAAAAAAGTTAATTCGTGTTTCAGTTCCAATTCGATTTATACATGTTAAAGCAAAATAGGTCGACAACACACCTTAATTATATCTTATTGGGTAAACTTGCTTGTCCTCCTAAAACTGAAACTGAAACTCCTAAACAGAAAACCATCATAAAAATTATTGTAACGTCAAACTATTTGTATTAACAAATGATCATGTTATACCATTAATTTACGTAACACTCCGGAGTAGGACGTAAGAATTAAAAGGCGTCATTTATTAAATAAGCAATTGAAGCCGTCAGAAATGTTTCAAATGTTCTTTGCATTCGCTAGTACCGGTATTAACCCTAATTACAAATTTGTATAAATATTTTAAAGGATATATTTTGTCTCTCATGCAAAATATTATTTAGAATCTAAAAGATTATGACGAAACATGGAATGGCGAAATGTTCGTTTATAACGTAAGAATGTAGGGAAATGTTTACTTACGTTTTAAAGCATAGCAAATACAAAATTCTGAGTAATTCAGATTTTTATGGCGCCCTGAAGATAAAGCACGCTCTGTATCGCTCTTAATACGAATATAATTCTGTTCGTTTATAAAATGTTCCACTGACAGACACACAGCACTAATTGTTTATAGAGGTTGGACCCACCACACTGCTTCAGTTCAGGTTGGTGTAACAACTTGCACTGAATAGGCACAGGGGTGGTACCCACTTGGTACTAGAATAATTCTTAAAATGATACTGTCTATAGTTAACGCGAGTAGTACACATTTAAATAAAACACTTAAACGGTTTAAAACGCGATATATTAGTTAAACTTAGTTAAAAATCATTTTCAAATAAGTATAACTAATATATCGCGTTTTAAACCGTTTAAGGTTTTATTTAAATCTTAAAATGATTTCAAATATACGCCTGCCTTAGTCCGCGTAGAATAGTTAATTTGAGTGTCAAAATTTGTTTATGCAAAATTCCTCATATTTATACATTATAGTTGTTACCGACATCGTGCGCTGGGTCCCGTCGTTCTAGCAAGTTAATGTTATGGCGGCTATACACGTTAGCCAACATTTTGGCGAATGTATTAGCCAATACGTGTTGGCCATTGTGTAGAACGGGGATTTGGGTATCAAATAGATCACCGACCGCCGCCATTAAAAGATATATATACTGGCGCGGACATTTTTCAATTAGAACCATTAGCTTCTGAGCTAGTTCGTTTAAACAAACAAACAAACCCTTCAGCTTTATAATATTATTATAGATAATATTACGAATAAGTAACAACATAAAAATGTCGCACTTAGCAATATTATATTTTAATAAAAACTGTTAAACATTAATAACAACAATATACACACAAGAGCTAAAGAATTAAAAAAACATCTTACATAAACATCGCATACAATATTATAAAAAAGAAATGAAATAAAATACTTAGAAATTGAATTATTACCAACTTTTAACTCAAAAGTTAAAAGGACACAAGAAACAAAATATTTTGACATTTATATTCACAAAGAATGCTTGAGTTCAAATGAAAATATGAAAGTAGCTCTTTCATATTTTCATTTGAACTCAAGTTGCACGGAACTCTGACGATGCCGGTTCGAGTCCTACCCGAGTCGAACAATTTTTCGATTTGTAATATAAAATCAGTTTGGTTAATTATGGTCCACCTTATTCCTGGACCCAGCTCAGGGGGCGGTCATGACCTGATAACCAACACCCGAGAATCCGGCGGTAGGTACACCAAATTTTTGCAATCATGATCCATGCATTTATGAAGGGATTATTATTTTGTAGGTCGTTCATACTTGGCTGATGCTCGCAGTGATCTTCGATGGTGGAAGGTGTGGCCGAATGGAACCGAAGGTGACCTGCTCCCGTCGCAGTATGAAGTTAAAACAGTCAGGTAATATCTTTACTGCGAAGTTAAATAGTTACTTTGTTGGCAATAGAGCAATAACCTAAAAATGTCTATTGTTTTTTTTGGTAATTTGCTTGACCACCTTCGTGGTGAGATATTCGAGTTCCGTATAATTTCGGCCAAGTAGGACACAGTGATCAACCTGATGTGTCACAGGGACATATAATTGTGCTTAACAATTTTGAACTCTATAATATTAAACTACTTGCCTGTAAACAGATAAAACAGACTTGCATTTGCGTCTTCTCCCTGCCCTATTCAGGGGAAACAGTACATAAAGATGTGAAGACCTTGTGCCAAATGCCAAATTAACAATGACTAAATTTCGTATCGCTTAAAATAACCTATGAATAATTGAGTTTTCACTAAGGTATCTTCTGAAAATAAATCTTGTCATAAATTTAAAAAAAAATGAATCTAAATAAAACGGTTTAAAATACTATATATATTAATTAAACTTATTTTTAAATTATTTTAACTATAGCCCTACGTTTCGGATGCTTTGCAAAAACGACGTTACAGATGGCGCTAGCTTAGCAGTATTTAATATACTTTGACATTAGAGACGCCCCCCATCTTCAGTCCTTCCGTGGCCACGGCTACTACAAAGCATCCGGAACGTCGAGTCGTAGTTAAAATAAGTTAACTAATATATATCGCATTTTAAACTTAGTGTTTTATTTAAATGTGCGCTACTCGCGTTAAATACAGACAGTATTCAAAAATGAATCTGTTTATGAAACTTTACAGAGAGGACGTGGAAGATATTATTGGCTCCTATTTGAGCATCGAACACCTGTCTGCACAGGACTACGGTTCTTATGTGTGCGTGGTGCACAGCAACGAGGTGGTCTCCAGGTCCTACGTCACCGTTCACTATAAGAGTGAGTCTATTTTTACCTGACTTCGGCGAAGAGAGGAATAATTTTGCCAGTTTGATGTATCTAGTACTTCGCTGGTAGTACTCAAAAGTACAGAGCACGGAGCACACTATGTCGTTGTCCTTATATCATCATACTGTGCCCGCGACTTCGTCCGCGTGGATTAGTTTTTTTTTGCAATCTCCTCAGCTTTATAAATTACGCAGTACTGTATAATAATAATTTTCCCCATTTTCTTTTGTTTTTCCACTCTTACTGGTCGCAGCCTGATGTTATATAGCCTAAAGATTTCCTCGATAAATGCTCTAACTGACACAAAAATATTTTTCAAAACAGTCGTTTCTAAGCGCGTACAAACAAACAAACTCTTCAGCTTCTTATTATTATTTATAATATTGGTATCGATATAAGAAAGTCTGCAATTAAAGCGAGTGGTTGGTTTTAACTCAAAATCCATCTTTCCTTGGTTCCGTACCTAGTATACGGACATCGACAAATTAAGTAATTCATAGATACCATTTCTTAAACTTCTATTATATTCAATCATATTTTCATTTAGATGGTGAATGGTCAGACTCAGATGTGTGGTGTGGTGAGTCAGAAGTGCAGTGGCGTGCGATAACGCTAGGTGTAGCCGCTGCTGCGTTGCTGCTCGTATCCGCTTTAGTGCTGCATCGACGTTGCACGCCGAGATTGCTGCTAGCAGCTAGACAGGCACGCGCGCGCGCAGCTGCGGCGCAACATCGCGCTAGAGGTAATAATGATGTTTTCGTAGTTCTGTTCCATTTTCTCAATTTAATTAACACTGTTATTGTAGAGGTAATTTTTTTTTTATTATTAAAAACGTTAGTCGTAATTTCTTTTTATAGTAGAGCTATATGAATAACTAACTGTGCCAGCGACGTCGTCCGCGTAGAATAGTTACTTTGAGCGTCAAATTTTGTTTTTGCAAACCTCCCCATCTTTATATATTATATCTGTTACCCACGACGTCGTTCGCGTCCCGTTGTTCTTGCAAGTTCATCTTAAAAGATAGACATAAACTGTCGCGAACATGTTTGAGATCATTTAAAGAGAAATCATTCTTTCTTACATATTTTTTGGGTAACTTGCACCGTTTTCGCAGCGCACGCAACGGAAAATCACAAAGATGAATAATTTTTCCACATTTCCCATTTTATTTTCAAGTTGATCAATTCCACTATCAATTCGAGCCAATAGTTTCTGAGATAAGCGCGTTCAAACAAACCGACAAACTCTTCAGCTTTATACATTAGTATAGATTAGATGTTGTAAGATGTTAAGTGTGTTGTTTCAATCAAAATATTTAAGTTCAGTTCTCCCTCTTTTGCGTTCTATAAAAGAAAACATTTTATTTTCCCATTTTTTTTAACGTAGTCCATCGATATATTGTTCATTTCCATTTGCCACTTGCAGTACTGGAGAAGGAGTTCGACGTTCTGGTGTGCTGGACGGCGGTGGACGCTGAGCTGGTCCGAGGCGCATTGCTCCCGACCCTCGCCTTCAAGTACAAGTACCGCGTACACACTGCAGCTCTCTCCACGCAACCTGATAACTGTCAGTATATACTTGGCCCAATAAAGCTGTATAGAGCTTTCCCTTTTGGCTCATGTTTATAGAAAGCTTTTTTTTGTATTTCTAAATAATATAAAATATTTAAATAAAACGCGATATATTAGTTAAACTTATTTGAAAATGATTTTTAACTTCGGCCCGACGTTTCGTCGTCTCCCCGTGACCACGGCTGCTGCAAAGCATCCGAAACGTCGGGCCGAAGTTGAAAATCATTTTCAAATAAGTTTAACTAATATATCGCGTTTTAAACCGTTAAAGTGTTTTATTTAAATGTGTACTACTCGCGTAAACTATAGACAGTATTTAATATAAAATAATCAAATATAAACTTAATGTAATTGCCTTTTTGAGGAATCAATACTATTTTATTTAATTAATTATTTATTAGGCAATACGTTTAACCGCCACAGAGGCGAGGCTTCAATATTTAACCAACAAATAAAATAAAGCACCACTTTATTTGCTAATAACATTATTACTAACTAAGCAATCTATATCAAGTTATAAAGAGGTGGATTTGTAGTATTTTTGTGTCATCATTATCAGCCCGTTTGGGTCCACTGCCGGACGCAGGCCTCTCACAAAGCATGCTACTCGGCGCTCTATTTTTGTGTGTATGTTTACAATCATTTCCGATTTAAAATAGACTATGTTATGAATGTTTCTGTTTAAATTACTTATTCAATTAAATCATATGGTTTCCAAGACTGTCCATATTGAATTAGATGTATTGGAAGATTTCAGACTTTTCTTGGTTCGATCATTCCATTCAATAGATATTATTTAAAAAGTCATAGATAAAAGGTAAATATACCGCATCTACAAATCTATAATAAAGCAATAAATATTTGTATTCAGGGTACAACGAGATTGTGTGCGAAGCGGCCCGGTGTCGTTCAGTGGTCGCCGTTGTGTCGCCGGCGCAGTACAGTTCACCGCATCACCTCCTGACTGCGCTGTGTCAGTTACGCGCGTTGCCGCACCCTCCAGTCGTCGTGTTGTTGCAGGTAAAGTGCGCACGAGTTTATTTTTTTATGATAGAGGCCAGACGAGCATGGGTTGGGGGTGGTAGGTGAAATCACCCAGACTTCACCTACCATCAGAGTCGACTTATTTTGGATATTCGGAAATCCAGAGACTGAAACCAAATCGCGATTAAAGATCACAGATTTTTCATATGGATGAGTGGCAGTTAAAACAAATGGTAAATAAGTTAACTTATATATTAGCGTTTTAAACCGTTTAATTGTTAACACGCATCATACATAATGTATTCAACTATATTTCAGGATTTACCGAAGCTAAAGCGCGAGGCGAAAGACGGGGGCGAACGCTTTGTGGAAGTGGTTCGTCGCACTCGTCTCATCCCTTGGCGGCATGTCCACGATCGTTCCTTCTGGACCGCGCTTCGCCTAGCATTACCCCTCCCCCCTACGACTGCGGACACACAGCAACACGTATGTACGAATATAGTTCAATTTATATATTTATAATAGTCTGTGGACTAAGTGGTTCAATTTGTCTATTTTCTGTCAAAAAATAATTGACTTAAATAATATTTGACCGATTCTATAGCTAAATGGTTATAATGGTGTAGCCTTGAATTGCGTAAGCAGTTCAGGTCTTGGGTTCGAACCCCGAAAACAATCGATGGTTTGGTGGACCATCGCGGAGTTTAAAAAAAACTACCTCTGTACCTCATTGGTTAACCTATGGTGCTAAAAACGAGAAGTCCTGGATTCGAAATTAAGGGAAATGATTTTTTCCTTCGGACAGAGTCTGATCAACTTTCCTATAACATCGATCGAACAGACACTGAAATTTTCGACCTTCCGGGGAAAACAAACTGATAATCATAAATGAATTTACAGGATAAAACAAGCCCCGTCGAGGCAGAACAGAGTAAGAATTCGCGGTCGGGAAGTCTCACCGCTCTCGTTTGAGGTCACTCTGCTGTCCCCAAGCTACCAGCAGTGGGGACAAGTGTTAGTGTTTTAGTGTATGACACTAAAAGTGCAAGTGCCGCTTACTACGAAGACTGGATAATTAGTTTCTTATATAATTATCGAAAACCCCCTTTGATAACGTTAAATGCCGCCCAGGAATAACGTCACACGTTAGGGCCCCCAGAATTCGTGACGTCACTTGCAATAGTGCACAAAAGTTTAAGAATAAGAAGTTCTAGACGTTTTGAAGTGATGTCAAAGGAGGACCATTCCAGGAGTACAACTAGCTCTGTGGGGGGGGGGGTGACCTAGTGTGACGTCATTAACGGGCGGCCATCTTAGGACAATATGAAACTTATATACAGTTTTCTAAGATCTCATAGTCTTCATTTTCCTAAGAATTTACCACGAACTTCGCATTTCTCTTTCGCGTGCCAAAGGGAAACATGACAATTATTTAAATTTTCGGTCTTATTCTCTAGTATTTATTTTATTTATCCCTCGTATTATTTCGTCGTTAGACGTTTTAGTTTGCTTCGTTTTCGCTTTTTAGTTTTAATCTTCTCCAAATTGAGTCTGTCCATTTAGTATTAAACTTTAATTTAGCGTTGTTTTCGAGTGTTGTAGGTTTGTTCGTACTGAATACTAGGTGAATCTTTGTTAAATTAAACGCTTGACGGTTTGAAACGCGATATATATTTAATTTTATTAAACTACGAGCAAAAGCAACTAAAACGTAGTTATATATTAGCGTTTTAAACCGTTAGCGTTTGATTTATAGTATCGAGATGAACCAGCTTTTGTGAGAATGGTATAAAGGTCTGTGATAAATTTATAAGTGTTTGCTGGGCTGCTTGAGGACTGATATAATTTTGTAATGTTAGTAATGCTCTAGAACGTACTCTAGAACCTACGTAAGGAATGCGCGTTGTTCAAAGAATAACAGCAGAATTAATGTTAAACATATTTTTTTAATTCTATTATTAAATACTTGTCGTCTACCTTGATAAGTATTTCTTGCATAGCTAACTAACCCTTATGTGCATCTCGGATTATCTTGTAATTTTCATTATAAATATTATGCAGTATTGATGTAAATAATTATAGTTTTGTAAAAGTTGAACAATTCTTGTATTACTCAACATTCCGAAGTGTTTTTAGTTAGTTAATTTCTAATGTGGATAGAATGAACTTATTGATCACTAATTACAGTGTTTAAAATAAATCTGTATTTTATTTTATATCTTTCCCATATAACAACGGCCGATTTCGTAATTGAGTAAATTTTAAATCAAATCAAAATCAATTAACAAAAAAATCTTTTAGTTTCAGTTCAAAAAAGTTCAGTGTCCTATTATTAAAAAATTGTTAAATCGGACTTGAATACGAAGGGAAACCAAGGTATGATAAAATACTTACGATAAAGAGCTATTGAAGTATTTATACTATGTGCGCTGTTGCCGGTAACAATTCAAGTGCGGTTTCATTTCACTCATGAAAGTTGTTGCGAACAGTAAGCTTAGTAACGTAAATTTAACTCAGACAGAATATTCTAATCACCAAATATATTACCAATGTGGTAAACCTAAAATACAAAGTAATCATTTGTTTTTCGCGACATTTTTCGATGCAACAAAAATTGCCACCCGCTCACATCCCTACCCCGACGTAATTTCAAAATAACAGCTTGTCAAACGTCAATGCCAAACGACCATACTCAAGTCACACGTTTGACTTGACGTTTCCGCATATTGCTTACAGGTAATAAACTATCCGGTATTTGGGTAAACTCTATGTTTTGGCATGAACATGACATATTTAATTTTTATTAGATTCAAAATAAGCCAGTATTTTGTGAAGTTTAGAGTTGTATGTATTTTAATGTTGTATGTTGTGTGTTGTTGAGACAATAATGTTTATTAAATATATAGGCTTTTACTTACCTTATACTATTGCACGCGAGCGCAATAAAAAAATATTTTTTTTTTATGTCAGTCTTAAATTACAGGGCGTTGACAGATGGCGATGTCTTATTGTTTGTCAATAATAAGAAACCTCTTTTTACCTCTTATGTATGTTTTAAATACAAGCATTATTATAAATAGCATGTTAGAAATAAACAGATGTTTGAAAACATTAATATTTTTTACACGTTGATTGTTTTACACATTGCACATGAAGGCACTATATAATTTAAAAATCGAAAATAAGCTAATTTAGAGAGCATCAGCACGGAACGCTGGCGATGCCGGTTCAAGTCCTGCCCGAGTCGAATTTTTTTTTTCAATTTATTTTTAAATAAACATATGTCTTAAAAACGCAAGTAAAATTCTTTAAAATTAACATACTTCACAATACACTGTATGTTTTAATTTTCTTATTTAAATGGGTTCCATATTAAGATGTGTAGATATTGTAAATATATTTAATTACAACATTCAACAAACAAGTTCTTAATAAAATAGATTCATTATAATCAGCAGAGATTGTTCATTACAAATAATCGCACATTACAAATTTTAACATTATTCTTATAGAGAAATAAGTGAATTGGTAACTAATACTCTCGTATAAATTTCGAAAAATTAAACTTAAAGTAGAGTCACAGACGAATGAAGACATAAAAGATTCAATTCATCTACTTAAAAATTAAGTACTTAGACGTACTAGCACCCGAAAGACGGCTGGTTTAAAAATTAGTAAAAGTTCGGCTTAGGTAACTTTGAGCTTAGTTGAAAAAGAAATACATTTGTTTAGATGCCATGGGCGTCCCGGGGTTAGGTTACGCTTCCCCCCATTTAGTCTAAACTGGAAAAAGGAAAAGTGCCCTATAATTTTGCCAGCCATTTAAAAGAACTTTAAAAGAATGTCTTTCCCCTTTCTACCCCCAGGCCCGATGCTGAGTACGCCCATGTCATGAGGCAGTATTAAAATATAGCCACTTGTTACGTGAACTCTTTACAAACTATTCTTATAATAGAAATTGTTTACGGACATTTCATAAAATCGTACGGCAGTCTCTAAGATTCTATATAGTACTACTGAATATTTTTCGCTTCTTTACTTCTATAACGTATGTGAAAAGATTGTATTATAGTAGACATTGGACTTACGTTTTTTTAAGCGGGCTTTGTTTGAAATGCCCTTTTATTTTGGTCTCAGTATAGACGCAAAGAAGCAAATATATTCAGAATTTATCACAATTTAATCACAAAGTACCGTAAGTAAAGATTCGATGCAGATACTGAGCTGTTTCTAAACACTCAAATATTAATTATTAAAAACTAAAAAAGTCAGATCTTTTAACTAGATTCACATGTCTAATAATTTCAACCCCTTTTTGTTTTCTAAGAATAATTGCGTTTAAAAAAAACTTTTAACAATTTAAAACGCGAAATATTAGTTAACTTATCTATAAGGTCGCTCCTGACTACTGCTGTAAATGTCGGGCCGCAATTAAAATAAATTAATCATAAGTTACTTTATATATTCGCCTTTCAAACCGTTAAAAGGGGATTTATTTAAATGTGTATACGCGCATGAACTACAGACTATACTTAAGTAATTTCAATTTAAGTACTAGTAGGTTTAAGTAAGTACTAGTCAAATTTTATTGTTTAAACTATGTTTGACGTTTTAAACGTAAAAAAGAGGGCAAATGGACATACATTCTCGGCCTACCCACAATAGACAAAGCTAAGCTTCTATTTCGATTCTGTACAAACTTGAAAACGACTATTTCAAAGAAATATATAACAAGTAAGTAAATAATATATAGATAACTCGTCACGTTTTATGAAATACGGTAAACAACGAAATAAATAGAATTACATACAAACTAGCGTGGCCTCATTCGCGGACTGGGATTTTCGAATTTAAGCCACTTCGACGTAATCTAGGCTGTGGTCTCCTATAACGCTGTAACGCGCGTCTAATGCGCGCGTTACGTCTACCAAGAATCTTTTAAAAGGGTCTTGACGCGGTGTCATGCAGTACGCTTACTATTTACTAGTAACAGTGAACTATGTGTAGAGGGCGTTTGTGCCTCTAGTTATTTCACATTATCGAATCATAAACGATGAAAAGACGAAACGTCCTTCACCCAAGACTTCTGACCAAAAAGTTCTCTTAAGAGCACCTTTACGCTGCGTACTGCGTTACGAGTTATGAGTAGTCAAACATTTTTTGACGGCACGAATTAGACTAAACGTCTTTCGCTCATCGCTAACTAATAGCACATCTTAAAAGCATCTTGACGCGGCGTAATGCGTTAAGCCATACGGGTTACAGTGTTTATGACACCACAGCTTTATAATTACAATTAACTACCTATTTAGTATAGGAACGAGAGTTCAGTCGGTAGCCTCTACTGCTTGAGGATACTTTTTGTTATAGGCCTGCAAAAAAAAAATGGATAAGTAATAAACACAAAAAAAAATACGCTGGTCGTGGATTCGAAGCACGCTTGTATCATATCTCGAAACTTTTAAAGTTTGCTAATTATTATAGGGCATTCCTGCCACTGGCGATAGCATTTTTTTTATTTAAATTCCAAATTCAAATGGTTAAACTTTAAAAAATCATATGAAATAGGTTTGTTTACCTGTAGCGCTACTTTAGCCAATATTTCCGCCATGGATCGTCCCGTTTGATCCACCATGCCACGAAGGTACCCACCAGACTTCTGTAGCAGGATGTGCGGATGATCAAACTCCACCATTTGACCCGCGTCCATAACGAGGACCTGGACGATACACAGATTCGAATATTTATCAAGTTATTTACTATATAAAAAAAGTAATTTAAGCGAGTTTGAAGAATTAAATGGTATATGATAAATGAAATATTAAATTTAATTAATTAATTTCATTATAAGAATGTACAATCGTTGAATCGAAAGGAGAGAAAGAGAAAGAGATCAGCGCCACAAATGGCAGAATTTGGAACTATAAAATTATGGCGTTCCATGACACAGAGTTAAAACGGGATTTATTTAAAAATCTTCTCTAGATCTGAAGGTCCAGGAGTCTTTTTCATGGGGTGGCAAGTCGGGTCGCAGTTAAATGAATTTAATCGCATTTTAACTCTTAAAATAAATATAAATAAAAATTAAAATTGTTTCATTTCAACGCATACTCCGGGATACATGTATACTTTACCTTATCAGAATCCATGACAGTGTGGAGACGGTGAGCAATTGTAAGTACTGTGCAGTCCGCGAACTTATTTCTTATTGTTGTTTGAATTAAGGCGTCCGTTCTGAAAAAAAAATACAGTAAAAGGATTAAATTAAAATGGATCTACTTTACAACTTTAATTTATTGTAAATGGAAAACAATAGTTATTTACACACACTATGATTTTATTTAGATATTATTATTACACTTTCAAACAACACAACTTCTGGAAAAATGTGTCTATCGACACTTTTAGAATCTACTTTTATAATGTACCACATCTTCTATAAGGAAGTGTTGTAAAATCTTAATTTTAAACTTGAAGTAACACGAAAGTTCTGTTAATAACTCTACTTGAATAAAACACTTTTAACAGTTGTAAACACAAGAATGATCAGTCAACTTTTTATCAATTTATTTTAAGTACATTTACGGCCGACGTTTAAAACGATTTGCAGTAGCCGTGACCCCATCCCCCGAGACCACATAAAACTACAATAAATTAACTAATATGTTTCGCGTTTTTTCACTTCCGAACAGTTTTCAAGGGTTTAAGAAATTTGAAATGATTTTTTAGATAGAATAATGACAAACTATTTCTTGCCCAATGTTGGCATAAGTATACTCACTGTGGATCGACGTTGGCGGTAGCTTCGTCCAAAACGAGAAGCCGGTTACGCCGTACTATAGCTCTAGCGAGACATACCAACTGCCTCTGACCGACAGAAAAGTTACCGCCACCTTCTGACATCCGCGAGCTCAGACCAGCCGGCAAATCCATCACAGCTTCTTTCAATTCCACCTGGAAAATAGAGAAAGAGAAGAAATTAGTTCATGGCATGTAGTAAAGACGAATCGGTGCCCATTTTGATTATTATTGCCAGGTGAATAAACCTTTCGTGTTCTGCTCGGCCGAAACTTTTTTCCTTACCTTTGGTTTCTTGCCAGCCATTTAATATCCGATTTGCAAACGATGTCCATAATATTAAAAAAAAATTTTAAAGTATTCAAACAATATTAGACCCATGTCCCGATGTCATGATTATTAGCAGTACCTTGCTATCATTACATCAACGAACCCATGGAACTACTTCGTATATACGTATGTTACAATGCTGGGCTTGTTTTAAGAATTTAATCCAATTCACATTTCTATTGTCAATCTGAAAAATCGTTACAGAGGATTCTCAAGCAGCCTTTTTTTAAACTTACCTCCTCCAAAGCCCTCCACAGAACCTGATCGGGGTATTCATCGAAGGGGTCCAAGTTGTGCCGCATAGTGCCAGAGAACAGCACCGGTTCCTGGGGAATTATGGAGACCTGACTTCGGAGCTCGTGCAAGCCCAGAGACGACGTCTCCCTTCCGTCTATTACTATTTCTCCTTCTATTGTTGCTAGTCTGCAATTGATAAGAGCAGATTAACAATTTGACTTGCTTTAGCTACCAAGTATTCTTGTTTAAAGGTGACCTTAATAATGCCAAAGACAATTTTATATGCTAATCTAACTACTTTTATAAAAGCTTCATCTTTAACGGTTTAAAACGCGATTTACTTTTAATTTGAGAATTAAATTGTTTTTTTTTTGCACGATCGACGTAAATTTGATATACGTTTTTAGAATACAAAACCAAATATGTACAACATGAAGTTAAAAAAAAAGAAATTGCTACTTTTAGTATCAAACACAGTGATATCTTCACTGACCTGAACAAAGCATTAATGAGGGAACTCTTTCCAGCACCCGTTCTACCGACAATGCCCACCTTTTCCCTGGGCAAAATTTCAAGGGTAAGATCTTTGAGTACGGCGGGTTCGTCCTGCGCGTAGTATAAGAACACGTGCTTGAACTCGACCTTTCCGGCGTCCGGCCAAGATGGCGGCGGCTTCTTGCTCGGTTCCGACTCTAAAGGTGGTTCGGGTTCTATACTTGAGTATTCTTCTATCCTGGATGGTATTAAGAAGATAAAGATATATTCGAATAGAAAAAGGATGAAACGAAGATTTATTGTGCTCTAAACTGCTACACTTTTTAATGTGTTCATATTATCGTCTTTTACAAACTGTTACAATTCGAAACGAATAACTCTCACAGCACATATTCGAAGTTAAACTTTATGCAGCACGTAATCGAAAACAAATAAGGAAGTATTTTATTTTTTATTTACATATCCTTTCAGAGATTCTATTGTACAGGTTAACTTAGTATTGCACATCCAAATAATAACAAAAAGCTTTCCTTGTTTATTTATTACATGTAAGAAAATAATAAAAATGACGATGAATGATGAAAGTAGTTACCTCTCAACACTGGTCATCTGATTCTCTAACTCAGTTGACTGTCTCATACCCCACTGGAACATTCCAGTAAGACCCATCGCTTGTGTTATGGCCAAACCCACATTACCACCATATTCCTCTGAAATAATTTGATACGTTATGTTTTTGCTTGCGTAAACGATACCTGTTTTGAGAGAACCTAACAATACCTTGTCCAAACACGAGGAAGCTCATAGTAACCACAGCGATGTAAATGACGCAGACCAAGTCCAACCAGAAGCCGAAAGCACGGGAACTCGCAATAAACATGTACCTTTAAAAGAAACAATTATACATTTCAGGCTCGAAGGACTAAATTTTAAATAAACAATTCTGAATATTTTATACCAAGCTGAACTGTGCAAGTCCTGGTGGCTATCAAACTCTTTAATGAGAGTCTCCTGAGCTCCAAAGGCGCGTATGGTTGTGATACCCTGGAGAGAAGCGTTGAGGTGGGAGAATACTGGACTACGCGCTGAAAGAAAAGATAAAATTTAAAATAACTGGTTTTGTAAGTATCTAAAATACCAAGACGAAAATTTAAAGAAGATTTTAAACACTTGAAAAGAAATGTTATTTAAACTATATTTCAAAAACTATGCAAGGCTTTTAGAATTTGCAAAGCTACTTCCTTTATGTTTTAAGCTAACAAACATTTCGTTGAATAAGTAATGAGGGCTCACAGATGACTCACTCACACCCTCGAGCCGTTTGATACTTCTTGACGAGGCGATGTAAAATATTCTGAGGCCGTAGAATATAAACCCGATCGCTAGAGTTGGAATGAGTAGCCAAAAGTTCACTATGGCTACCACTATCACTATACCGATGAGAGATAGGCCGATCTGAAAAAAATCGAAAAGGTATAATAACAATTATTAATAAAATATTTAAATAAAACACTTTTAACATTTTAAAATATATTAGTTAAACTTATTTACAAACTATTTTAGCTACGGCACGACGTTTCGGTTGCTTTGTAATAGCTGCGGTCACGGGGAGACAAAAGATGTAGGGTGTCGCTAATGTCAAAGTAATGACGAGTAAAGTATACCACGGCAATATTTTAAACCATTTAAAACACGAAATAAATTAGTCAATTTATTGTTAACCGCAGGCTTTGCTTGGTGGGAAACTGCAAAGCATCCGGTATATTTCGATTCAGACTCAAATGTATAATCACTCACATTACATTTAGCGTTTTAAACCGTTTAAAGTTCTTACTTTTATTAAACACCATTGAAGGCCATTTTAAAATACAGATATCCACAAACCTGAAGTACGTCCAATAATGCCGAGGGCAGTACTTCATCCACTGCGCCCATGTCCTTTGAAAACCGGTTGAGGATACGACCCGACGGGTTTGTGTGGAAGAACCGCATAGGGGCGCGGGTTATAGACGAAAACATATTGTTGTGCAGTTTCGTGGATGCACGCATCGCCATTGAGAAGAACAGGAACGAACGGAGAAGAGATACTACCACTAGCGCCACTACCATACCTGAGGAAGTTAATAAGTGTTTTTAATGAAGTTTCCGACTTAACCTTCTTCAGTTTTTTAACACTAGTGACGTCACAAGATGATTAACAGATAGCTTACATACTACTGTAGTTTACGCGAGTATTATACACTTAAATGAAACATTTTAACGGTTAAAAATAGTTACATTTATTTGGAAATTATATTACAACGGCCCGATCGACGAACGTTTTGGATGCTTTGCAGTAGCCGTGGTCACAGGGAGGCTAAAGATGGAGTCTCTCAAGGATATCAAAGTAAAAAACTATTATATATTCGCGTTTTAAACCGTTAAAGTGTTTTATTTAAAAGATGGCTAAAGATAAAAGATAAATTTTAACGATGCTTGTTAAGAGTTAAACGCATCGCAAGAGTTTTGGATCCAAGAGCCGGTAAATCTAATGCTTCAGCTCAGACAGAGAACAGAAGCCTCACCAACTATTTACTTGTGAAATATATTAATAACAATTAAAAACGGACACAAGTATGTATACCCCATGTCCCATATGGGGAAAAGGGATTTGTAAACTTACATGTGTAATGAAGCCGGTAAATACTGTCTATAGTTTACGCGAGTAGTACACATTTAAATAAAACACTTTAACGGTTTAAAACGCGATATATTAGTTAAACTTATTTGGAAATGCTTTTAACTTCGGCCTGACTTCGGTCTGACGGTCGGGGGAGACCGTCTCCCCGTGACCACGGCTGCTGCAAAGCATCCGAAACATCGGGCCGAAGTTAAAAATCATTTCCAAATAAGTTTAACTAATATATCGCGTTTTAAACCGTTAAATTGTTTTATTTAAATGAAGCCGGTAAACATAATATTTTAGTTCGGGCGAAGCAAGCCTCATCAACATCACAACAGACACATAAATGTCGAGCCCACGCCCCCACATTGGGAAACGGGATTTTTAAACTTACACGTATAAATATAAATGCAGTCATATCTTGTGAGGCCGGACTTGAAGTGAGCGTTGTTTATGAGTGCGTCTGTTAAGTTTGAGGTCAGCTGAAGTGGTCCTGTTGCATTTGATTCTAGTTCACGGAAAGCTGTGAGTGGGTGGTCTTCTTCTTGGTTAACCCTGCATGCAGTGGGGTTGCGTGGTATTAAAGGTAATTGTATATACTTTACGGTTTTGATCAATTATGAATGTATTTACCGAAACGACGTTTCAGAAGTTCTGTGGCTTACATTAAATAATATATGTTTGTGGTTAAAACTCTATACACTTAAAAATAACATTCTCAGTTTCGATTATAGAATAGCGTATTTTACACGCTGCCTTTGTTTGTTGTAAAAAAATTCCACGCTATTCCTTATTTTTAGCTTATCATATTTACTCTGTCCTTTTTCACTGCTTACCAGTAGCTTGTCCACCAATCAGACCCCGAACCCAACAGTTGAGCAAGGACAGCTACGAGCACCATCAGTGTTACGAGCAAGGGATGTCCACTGGCCCGCAAGTACGCCCCGTAGACTTTACTTGAGACCGCACCGGCAGATCGCATCTCTGCTTCTTCACGACCGCCTTCAGGGGGCGCTGTAGCTGTTAAGTTATCTACTGAACTCACCTGGAACGTAAAAATAATAATGTCTAATACACGTTGTATAAGGTTTTTATGGAAATTTTTAAACGCTAGTGGATTTTTAAGCTCGGTCATAGTAATCGAGAAATTTCGAAATGACACCATCGGATGTTGAGCATGTCTTTGCGTAGTCGTTAAGGGCGTTTTGTCAGACATCTTTCCTATCTCTGTCAATAGTAATATCGAAGGAATTTAAAAAATGGTTACTTTACATTTTTCAAAGTGTATAAGTGTGAATGCGTGTGCGTGTATACCTGAATTGATTTCTACAGCTAAAATATAAGATCACACAAATTACTTTCTTTCTACGTAGACGATCTAAGCGACTCATATAAAGACGCTATTGTCAAAAACTTTCTACTATTCCATCTCAGTTATACAAATCTAAAATTACGCTTGAGATAAAAAAGTACTGATAATTGACTAACCATAGACAAGTCTATTGAAAATTTTGAAAAATATAATAAAACTAACAGAGTGTATGCTCATCTGTCTTTTCCTGAAGCTTCCCTGCAGAACTGATTCGTCGAGATCGATGTTAGACTTGTCTTCCACGGCTGGTTTCTCATCCTCCTGCTCGTCACGGGCCAGCAGCGTGGCGAAGTCCAGACCAGACGCACTTAAAGTCTCGAAGTCACCGGCCGCGGCTATTGCACCGTTTTTCAATATTATAATCTGTAGACAGAATATGGTTATACTTTGAAAGTTGGTTAGATAACGATTATTTCTTTCTGACATGGTGTTCAATAAAAAAAAGTTTAAATCTAGGCTGAACAAACCAACGGGAATATACTATATACTTTGTGTATAAGTAAATCATTTTTGTTGTTAAACCGTTGTCGACCGTTTTTTTTAAGCTTTTATTTGTAATAAACTTGTATCACACATAATAACGTATATAATAGAAAATCAATATTAGTAGCTATTTTCTGAATATACTTGGTATAGCCCAAACCTGATCGACATCCTTCAAGAACTGCAGCTGATGGGTGACCAGCACCCGTGTTGTGTTCCTCAGATAACCAACCACACAGGACTCGAATAAATGCCTCCCGACGTGAGCGTCCACCGCTGACAGAGGGTCGTCAAGTAAGTAGATGTCTGCCCTTTTGTATACAGCGCGTGCTAAGGATATACGGGCACGTTGACCTAGAGTAATTAGTCATCATTAAGTATCTTTGTCGAGAATCTTTGAATAAAACATATTTTTATATGTTATCATCATTTAAACACTTTAATATATAGTAAACGATCACGAAGCATAAATATTTTGTAAATATGACTTCCGATGATGATTCTTTCTCCTCTTATTTTTTTTCGTGTAAAATAGACCATTGGTCGTTGTTTAAGCAAGAAATTCATCATCACTGTGCCAACTATCTGACATATTTATTCGGGATTTGGTTCCAGAACCTTCATCTTACCTCCACTGAGACTGACTCCTCTTTCGCCGACCACCGTCTTATCTCCATGTGGAAATAAAGTGAAGTCCCTATCGAGTGCACAACGCCGCACAACTGCGTTGTATCGCGGTCGGTCCATTGGCTGACCAAATAAAATGTTTTGACGGACGCTACCTGTAATGGTATAGCGATAGGGGTAAGTAATAAAAGTTTTGAAGTTAAAGAATTAGGTACAATTGTGAACGTCAATACAGAAAAATAAAGACACTAAATTTACATTTACTAACAGTTTTCATAACAAGGGTTTAGAATGGAACATAACTGTCAAGAAACTCGCCGCCACTCCTTTTATCGCCGCACTTAGGTCTACTACAATTATTTTTCTTTTTATAGCGGATACCTTCAAGAAGTCCTTTAGTATGTTTTCTTAATAGACCATTGAAGTATTTACTAGATATATGCATCGTAGTCTTCTAACAAAATGATTACGCTTTGCCAAGAAAATACCCTGACGTCACAATTTATATCATTTTTTTAGCTATTTTCGGACAAGAATAAGAATGTCTTTTAAAATATTTCAAGAGCTGATAAATATTTTGTAAATAACGTACCGGCTAAAAAGTAATTTTAAATTTTATTTCATTCAATTATTCTTACCTGCAAAAAGCCAAGGTTCCTGACTCGCATATGAAACTGTACCACCAACGTGCACTGAACCAGAGACCAGAGGTAATTCCCGTAACAGGACATGAAGAAGCGATGATTTACCAGCGCCTACTGGGCCTATTACTGCTATTAACCTTAAAAAGTAATTAAACGATTTTAATTACTAAGAGCTTTTATACAATGGAGGTTAAATAATTGACAGTGAATTTTTAAATATTATATAGGACAAACTGCGACAGGTAGGGTATCGTATAGACACTAATACTATACTAATATGTGTAGCTCGCTATATGCCATACAGTTAGTTTCTTGAAACTGTAAAATACTTTGTTTACTTCAGAAACATGGACGAACCCCATGGAGTATGCTCATTGTTAAAAACTTGAACCAAAGTAAATCCCTCCCCTCATGTCAATTTATAAATATTTAAACCTTTTTATTCAAAGTAGTTAGTTATCCGGGTCCTAGAAGAATGTCACCATCATTATCAGACCTGTGTCCCCACACTTGGCACTCACCATACCATCGATGTACCATCTTCTTAATGTATCTTGTTTAGATGTTATATATTAAAAAATATGTGTAAAAATTAATACTCACTTGCCAGGTTTGATGGTGAGTGACATATCAGTAAGCGTGTTCTCAGAGTGAGAAACAATCCATTTGGCTGTGGCGTGCTTTAGTCGCACACCTCGTGCATCTTCTTCGACGCGGGTCACCAATTCCTCTGTGTCTTCTTCGCCAGACTCTAAAGGTGCTTCGAGGTTTCCTAAAAGAACATATATATTTCATTTATATTTTTGATGGCGTCGAGGCTCGTCATGGTAGCTAAAATTTTCTAATCAAATCATATTTTTTCTGAACCATATTGGACTTCGTCTGGAAATTTGGGTATTAAATAGATGGTAGGAATAATGAATTTCCGTCCGTCACAGTCCACAGATGAATAAGCAGTCAAGTTGAATAGAGCGACAACGCATCGTGTTTAGATGTTATATTGGCTGGGTTGTTTCACCTACCATCATGTGAACATAGGATTCATTTGATGGTATTGATGGTGGTCTGTCCTCCTCTATAAAAAATATTTTTTTTTTATATCAATAGCTTTACTGGAAAGTTCTATGAAAATGTTTATTTTTTCTATTCTGTCATTTCCATTCTTGTCAGATGTGCGGTGTCTTGGAGATATTGTATTATCTGTATTAAATGTACAGACAGACGATTTTTATTGCTTGAGTGTGAAATCACGTTTCCCCCTCGTGGGGCATGGTTCGAACACATTTCTGTGTCCGTTTCACTGATCCGTTCTTTAACAGGCAAGTAGATTTATAAGATGTAGTAGATTTCTGTGCCCTGCCTGAACGAAACAATTTCTTGTTTCCCTGAGATCCGAACCCAAGACCTCTCGCGCTTAACGCAATGCTATACGCATAAGCAGTTTTGTTTTTCATGATTGATATGGAACTTGCCAAGTTAACAATGATCGTTTAACAAATATTTGTCTCTAACAAGTACTTGAAACCCTTCAAGTATTCTTCCGATTACAATGTAACGCAAGGTGCTCGTGTCTCGAGTTTCACAGATATGAAATAAGACTGAATGGAATTCGAAATATAAGCCGATTATTTGCATTTCTCTCGTTCTTTGTTAAAATCCTTTCATTTCAAGTAACTAAGTACCTTCAAGTCTGCATATTAGTGTCATGTGCAGTTTTAATTGCTATTCGTGTCAATTGCGTTCCCATAGCTGATAGGTGGTTCACAGAGCTTAGATCCACCAATCTACAATGCGAGACACTGTATTTTGACACTATGACCAAAATAAAATGTGTACCTACTGTGGTTTAATTAATTAATACCTAGTGATGAACCCTTAAAAATGACGTTTGTAGATATTTATAATACTTTTAACGGTTTAAAACTCTTTGTTGCTTCTGATACTTTCGGCCCGTAGTTAGAATAGATTAAAAATAATTTAGTTTAATATGTAATACTCAAATGTGTTCTATACGTGTAAAATACAAGTATACTTAAATAAAAACACAACAATAAAAGGAGTGGCGGCGAGTTTCTAGCCAGTTCTTCTCGTTCGTTCTCCCCCCTAATTTGAGAACTGGTAGTAATTGTTAATTTTTAAATGTATTTACGTTCATAAGTATCTACACGAATAAATGAGTTTTTGATTTTGTGTTTGAGAAACTGGTAAAGGATGGAAAACTCACCGTTGCCTTTTGATTCGTGTCTTTTAGTAACTATTGGAGATTCCAAGGACTGCTTAGAGCTCGCATGCTTCTCTTTATCGTAGTCTCCTTTCACTGACGACGCTGCTGATTCCTGTACTGGCTTTTCATCGTTTCCTTTTTTAGCTGACGTCTGGATTTCCGCTAAGCCAGGCACAGGTTTGGATGTGTCTTCGTACAGCATGAAGTTTTGAAGGCGTTTTATGGATATCGTGGCTTCGGCAACTTGCGCTATACCTGTGAAATACATTCCATTAAAATAACATATATAAAGCAGTTTAAAACGAAAAATTTTCTAATGGTAGCAACGTATGGCTTATAATATATAATGTGTTCGATTCCCGCCGGGACCAACATGTTTATAATTTTTCGATTAATGATTTTGTTTGAACATGATGGACTTTGTCTGGATTAAATCGGTGGTAGATATAGGTATCGGAATTCCGTCCGGGTCCCACCATTAACAGATGAAAAAGCCGTGAAGCTTAATCGCGTTTCAGTTTCAGTCTGTGGATTTCCGGATATCCAAAACCAAAATAGGTCAACAGCGCATCTTGTTTAAATGCTATAGGCTGGGGTATTTCACCTGTCACTCTATCATAAAAAAAATATATATACATGTCAGCTTATAAGCAGGACTAACCTTGAGGAAAGAAGACAGTCATAGTCTGTCTGAGGATGTTGTAGAAACTGGTCACGACGAACACTTGCTTGGCGCTGATCACGCTGTTCTCGAGAACGAAGGCAAGAATCGAGAAAAACAGGCATATACGCGTGGTGAACATGATGAAGGACGTCAGCACACCGCGAATGTACGAGGTCGCTTTTATCTGCTTAATTTCTTGCCTGAAATGTTACGTTTATCAAAAACTGTCTGTAGTTTACGCTAGTACACATTTACATAAATCACTTTAACGGTTTAAAACGCGATATTAGTTAAACTTATTTGAAAATTATTTTAACTACTGCCCGATGTTTCAGAAGCTTTTCAGCAGCCGTGGTGAAGAGGAGCCACCGTTTGAAACCGTTAAAGTGTTTTATTAATATAAAAGTTGTAAGTAACGTTTTAAAACGATATATTATATTGTTGAACTTATTTGAAAATTTTTTTATCTACGACCCGATGTTTTGAAAACTTGTCAGCAGCAGATCAAATGGGAGACACCGTTTTAAACCGTTAAGTATTTTATTTAAATGTTAGGTTAAATTAATTAATATAATTTGGTACTTCATAGTCTTGCTACAAGTTGAATGAGAAAATGATAATTTCGGTCTAGCTGGGGACAGAAATCTGCTCAACAAGGTGTTGGTATTCAACAAATACACTGAACGGCTTAAAACGGGAAATATATTAGTAAACACAGTAAGGAGTAGCTTTGGAGTAGACGTGGTAGATTCTATAGACAGGCGTTTATTTTGGGTTTTACTCAATATAAACTAGAGACAACAAGATGCCTGTAAATAATCTACCAGTGCAATATACCCAAAGCACCAACATGGGATCAGACGTCAGACTATTTTTTGCAATATTGTCAGAAACTGTAGGGGAATTGAGTATAAATTAATTAGTAGATCAAAGCAATATAATTTGTGTAAACACGTAATTTTTGATTCACATTAACAAGAGAAATCTATATATAATATACGGTTTGTTTGAACGCGCTAATTTCAGGAACTACTGGATCGAATTGAAAAATTATTTGTGTTGGAGAGAACTTTTATCGAGGAAAGCTATAGGCATATATAAAACATATATAATGCAATGTGACTAATAGGAGCGAAGAAACAACGGTAATGTGGAAAAATAATTCATCATTATGTGTTTCCGAGGCGTACGCGCCAAGACACTCAAAAAATGTGTATGAAAGAATTAATCCTTTTTAAATAGTCAAAAAAAAATCAGGGACGCTATATGTCTATCTTTTAAAACTAACTTGCAAAATCGACGGGAAGGGACGCGACCGACGTCGTGGGTAACAGCTTGAGTTTATAAAGATAAATGGGTTTGCAAAAACGAATTTGGATGCCGAAAATAACGATTCTCGCGGACGAAGTCGCTGACACAGTTAGTTATTAATAATTAAAGTTTTTCGATATATAAATTCAATTCCATCTTGCAGATAACTTAGTCATTTTAAAAATCGAACATCGTTCATCTCTTCTGCTGTATGGAGCTCTTTCTTTCTCTTATCTTATTTGCATATTAGATTTTAAAATCCTTTAAATCCCTACATGCTTCTAATTACCACGAATTACGCTAATATGCAAGTATCCAATAAGCTTAAGTGAATTAAATGATAAAGATGACCATTACGCTGGTACCATCCTGCGCATGAGTACAATGATGTCATTAAATACTGTTTGTAGTTTACGCAAGTAGTAGACATTTGAATAAAACACTAACGGTTTATAATGCGATATATGTTAGTTAAATTTATTTGAAAATTAACTACGGCGATAGTTTCGAATAAGTTTAAATTATATACATATATCGCAATTTACGTAAAATATATCGCGTTTTAAACCGTTAGTGTTTTATTTCAATTGATTGATGCATGCCCCTCACGTCAATGATTACATGTTGTAATTCAGATTATCATTTTCAATTTATATAGATAGTGCCATCATGTGCAATAACCAATTGAGTTACCGAGTCCTACACGTCATTTTTCAACCTACTGTCCTACCCGAGTCGTAATTTTTTTCAATTTATAATCTATTTTTAATAAATACGTCGAATTTTTTATGTTCCCTATCCTGCTTATGACGTGTTTTTGGTCCATGAGATCGTTTTAAGCAGGTTTTACTTGACATTGTTGTATGTCGATGCATTCAGTCCCTAACAAAATGCACGAGCATGACAACGCAGAACGATCGTTACGCTTGTTCGGTTAATTGATACAAGTGAAGGTTGTTTAGATAAATTTTACTTCCCATACACATTTGTTTAACCACTTAAGACCATTTATCGTATGTTATGCACAGACATTACTAGTGCGTACATTTTCTTTGACATAATCATTTTGTTTAGACATCCTTTTTAGTAGAGCAATTTAGGCATCTTTGCCTTATTAAAACTGATTTACTAAAAGTAGTCAACGTAGTCAACAAAGTAGTCAGTCAGTTAGTGGTACATTTACATAAAACACAATAAATAAGTATGTATAATTTATTTCGACATAAATAAGTAACTCATATACTTCGCGTTTTAAGCCATTGAAAGTGTTTGTCGAGTTGTTGTCTAATAGAAAATTAGTTAAATACTGTTTGTAGTTAACGGGAGTAGTACACGTTTAAATAAAACACTTTAACGGTTTAAAACGCGATATATTTTAGTTAAACTAGTTCGAAAATTATTTTTACTACGGCCCAATATTTCGGTTGTTTTGGAGCAGCCGCGATCACGGGGGCTAAAGATGGATGATGTCTCTGACGTCAAAGTAAAATGCTGCTACGCTAGCGCCATCTGTTCCGTCCAAAGCCAAATACCAGCTTCGAAGCTATATGCGATCCGGCCGACATTGTTTGGTGGTTTGCAAGACTCAAATTTGATTACAATAAAAACGATTGTGTGTTCTTAGTTCCTATGAGTTAATATTAAAAGATATATACGGTTCAAATTACTCAAAAACACGTTTAAAAGAACGATACTTTTAAAATTATCTTTAATAAAATGTCCGCGACAGTATCTGTCTATCTATTATGATTAACTTTCAAGAACGACGGGACGCGACCGACGTCGTGGGTGACGATGAAGAGGTGATTGCAAAACCAAATTTGTGAAATATTAGTAGTGAAATATTTGTAAAATCGGAGAAAATCATTCAAAGGTTTAAACAAAAAATATATGTGAAACGATGATCTTGTGCAAAATTAAGATATCTTTAAAATCAGCTCGCCAGAACTAATCTTATGGTAATCAAAATTGGTAGAAATCTTGCAAACAAGATAAGGTTCGCCGGATCAGCTACCACTACTACTAAACACTAAACTCGTAGTAAAACTATATTAAAACAAGTAGTAAAACTCACTTTCTCGCCTTCGCCACAAGGTCAGCGAAGGGTTTCTCCCAAGTGTACATCTTAATGACTTGAATCCCCGACAGGATCTCATTCATGAGTCGAACTCTCTCATCTGTTCGAAGTGCAGTTTTCAACCTGAGGACTGATGTCCGCTTTCCCAAATAGGCTGAAATCAGAAAGACATTATTCCAGCCGTCTTATCTATAGCATATAGACTACTTTTGAGAATTGAATATTTGTGTTGGACAGACCATTTATCGAAGGCTTTAGACTTACGAACCCGACCTGACCGAAACATCACGGGAGTCAAACTCAGGACCAAACAAAGCTCAAAGCAATGAAACGTATAACCATTGAGGTTTAAATAAAACACTAACGGTTTAAAACGCGATATATGACTTAAACTTATTTGGAAATGATTTTTAACTTCGGCCCGACGTTTCGGATGCTTTGCAGCAGCCGTGGTCACGGGGAGATAAGTTTAACTAATATATCGCGTTTTAAACCGTTAAAGTGTTTTATTTAAATGTGTACTACTCGCGTAAACTATAGACAGTATTTAACTATTGAGGTGTCAAAAGTGTCAGCAGATATCTTTAAGCCTACATTTATATTGTAATAACATAATCAAATATACAACCAGTTCTTTTAAAACTATTTTAGCTGCAAACGTTTTAAACGATGACACATAACAAGGTAAAACAATTTAACGGTTTAAAACGCAACACATATTTAAAAATTAATGACAAGGTTCAGTCAATTTTCAGCACCTACTTTCCTTCAGTACCCTTATTCCTTCGATTCATTTATTATCTAGATTAAGTGCAAAATGTTTCAGGAAGCTTATAAATTTAATAGAAACATTTTAAACCAAAAAAATGCTGTGGATTGAATCCACGACCCGTTGATTACGAGCCTTACATTGCTACCATTAGACCGACGAGTATTGTATAAAGCTAAGAAACTGCAAGGTATATGTATTATTCCTTTGTTCGAACCTGTTACTATGCGTTACGGAGACCTTAGTTGTCCATGAAAACTGTAAGAACAATGAGATACGTGCCGTTCGTGACTCATCGCGATAAATTTTCTGCTGCGCGACAATTCTGTCATGTACATTAAATGAAACAGAATTTTACAATAACTAGTTTAAATAAATGCAACAGCCGTGGCCACGGGAGACTGCTAAGCATCTGAAATGCGGACCGTAATTACAATAAGTTGATTTCGCGTTTTAAACCGTTCAAGTGTATTACTCTTATATTATTTAAAGGTGTACTACTCGCGTAAACTACAGACAATTTTTTAGGTTGACAATACATTTCGCATTTTAAACCGTTAAACCGGTTTTATTTCAATCTGAATTATTCGCGTAAACTAAAGACGATTCCCAATAATAAATCACTATATTTTGCATTCAAAGTTACAAGTTTGAATGAAGTTCTAGTACTAATTATCACATTTTATTCAAAATTAGGTTTTTTTTATATGCGTATACGCAGTATGCACGTTTGTTATGAGCATCAAAACATCTATACAAATAACACACATACACAAATTTACTGACACATCTTCACACATACTTACAAACATTATAATAATTAGAACCTCATGTGGGTCTCGGTGGAAATCAAACCCACGACCCGTTGTTTATTAGCAATATATATATATTTTTTTAGGGAACTAAATAGAGTTGTCCTTTATGATAAGTAAAACAAACAACAATTTTTTATACAAACAATTGTACAGAAATATAACGAAATCTAGCTGTATGTACTGATAATATTATAAGATTTCAATAAGAACTGTAACGGTTTAAAACGGGAAATATATCAGTTAAACTTATTAAAAATTATTTTGTCTACGGCCCGACGTTTCCACCAAGCGAGCATCTGTAACGTCGGGCGGTGGTTAAAATAATTTTCCAACAAATTCAAATTAATAATTCGCATTTCAATAAAATACTAACGGTTTTAACCGCGATATAAACCGTTAAAGATTATTATTGAAATGTGCACTACTCGCGCAATTTACAGACAGTGTTTAATATATTTTGACGGGCTAGTTGGTCTAATGGTAGCAATGTATGGGTAATGTTCAACGGGTCGTGGGTTCCGGCCGGGTCACGAACCGCCGTCCACAGGTGAAAAAGCCGTGAAGCTTAATCGAGTTTCGGTTTCAGTCTGGATTCTGAATATCCAAAGCCAAAGGTCGACAGCCCCCGTGACCGTAAGTCTCCCCGTGACCACGGCTGCTGCAAAGCATCCGAAACGTCGGGCCGAAGTTAAAAATCATTTTCAAATAAGTTTAACCAATATATCGCGTTTTAAACCGTTAAAGTGTTTTATTTAAATGTGTACTACTCGCGTAAACTATAGACAGTATCTAGGTATACATTTACAAGTGTTTCAGTTAGCCCGGCCGAGAAATAGCAATTCTGGCATCGTATTAACGTAATCTATTTCTGTCCCAAGTAAACACGTGGTTGCTCGTGCGCTGTCGTGTGTGATAAATTAAACATTACACCTTGTAAGGTTTACGCTTCTTCGCTAGAAACACATCGAAAAAGCGTCATTGATACTGAATGAGGTCAGGACCGAAGGTTATATGACAAAATATTTAGGATTTTAAATTAAACACTAACGGATTAAAACGCGATATGAATAGGTTAAACATCTCATTGGACGGAGTGTTTCAACGGAGATCGACGAATTTTATATGCAACGTGATTGTGCTTCCATTCCTGGTCGAAAGTCGACTAACTTCTTTACGTTTTGTAATTTCTGCGTTTTTTAGATGTAGACTGTTTTCTTACGAAATATCTTGTGTGTTATATATATTCCCGTCTAGAACAAAGTTAGTTGAGACGTTGGGCACTATTGTTAAATAACATCCAACTATTTAAATAAGACTTAAACGGTTTCAAACGCGATATATATTACTTAAACTTGCTTTGTAGAGGGCGTGACCACGATGGGTGGGATCTCAGATGAAAGAGCTAAGCTAGCGCCATCTGTTTTGTCTAAGTTGGTATTTGGCGAAACTGGCTGGAATTGTCTACCGGTGACTTTGCGTTTGCCAGTATGCTGTTTTTTTAATTGAAATATAGTTAGACTGTATAGCAAATATTTTTATCTGTTCTTTGTAAATTTGAATCCTTAACTGATTGCCCTCACGTTAAGTTCTTATTGTTATGCTAGCGCTAGGTGCCGTCAAAGATAACTCGAATGCGGTTTTGACCGAAACCAAATTTTAATATGTAACCGAAAAATTTTTGATCGGAAATTGTTTGTCTAAATTTAAGAATTACCATTTTTAAATTTACATATAAAATGACGCATTACATGAGTGAATAAGTCATAAAAACGCTCTACTTTTTCGGCTCGCAAACTCGGTTTATTTAGGTGAAGTCTTTGTCTACTCAACTAAGGCAGTAGTTTTATATAAACATTTTTAAATACAGTAAAATATCAAAGTAGGTTTGACATTGCTGAATTTTCGTTAAACCGAGCCGAATTGTGACATTACAATTTACTGAATAAAGATGAAATCCCGCACTCCCAATTGCATAGGGCGAACACATTTCTGTGTCCGTTTGACTAATCGGTTTTTTACTGGCTAATATTTGATCAGGATTCTGTACCCTGCCCGACCGTTACAATCAATTGTTTCCCGGGATTCGAATCCAGGACCTCTCCAGCTGTATTTAAGGCCTCTGTAGGTACAGAGGCGGTCAGACAATTTATGTATGACATTATAAAATGAATTATTTACATAAAATTTCAGGGTTCGAGATAAAATTCGAACGTGTAACATGCGCCCACGCAGTTCTATGTAATCAGTATGATTCAAAACATTGTATCTCATGCGCATACAATAAAATAGTTCATTGCACAGCTGACCGTGTTTTATCTAAGGGACGTATTGTGCAAATTTGAGTTCAATTCAATTAACCCATACGACGTTTATCTTTTGTTTTTCAATTAGATACAAATTGTTTTGACGTCGGGTTTTTATAAATTATTTTTTTCAAAGCAAAATAAATCCAATTGCCCTACAATTATTGATAAGAGTCCGCGCAATGTAACAATTATCTATGAATTTAAAAGACACGCTTTTAACGGTTTAAAACGCGAAATGTATTAGGTTATAATATCTTTATTATATGATGAATGAAAAATATTCATACATTTTGTTAAATACTTCCTCTATACTAAAGCAATCACTTCTGAAGGACTTTGAAGAACCTATTAATTACTGCAACATAATTGTCATTTATTTGTCTTAGTCATTGTCCGTTAACCAGCCGGTTACATAAATGCAATTACTGAATAAAAGGTGTGTAAATCCATAAGTAATTAAATATTGTCCGTAGTTAACGCTAGTAGGTACCAGTTACAATGCTACCATTCTGTAGACTCGACACCCAGGAGCCCGTCCAAAGATTAGCGAGGATGTTTTCAAAATTATCTCACTGTCTCTATTTAATAGCTTAAGCCCTCGTGCTTCGTTCTTCTTTTTCTACTTATACTTCTACGGCCCATTTAATATTCACATTTCCAAACGAAGTCCCGGCCCCGGTGGGGACTGGGGATCCTATGACCCGTTACCCATATTGTTAAGCCTTTGTTTCTTTCAAGATCAAGAAACAGGCAAGTAAGGTAAGAAAGATTTAGCATAATCGCCTCGGCCTCAGCGCATCGCGGTCTTTAAAACCTCTCGGCTCGTGTGAAATTACACTTCAATACGTTGGTTGACCTTCTTTTGTCATCGTGACGCGTTGACCGCATAAGCCAGTTAGTGGGTAAGAGGTATCTCGCCTTAGCCAATTAAAACAAACGCTCTAATTGCTATATCGACAATGTCTCGGGAAAAGCGAAATTGTTTATAACTGGAACGGAAGTAAGGAACCAGACACAAACGAGTCTTAAAAATGTCACTTTCAATTCGAGTAATAGAACAATTCAAAATTACGAATCGTCTGTAGTTTCAATCAAATAGCGATTCCAAATATAAAAACTTATGTCTTTAAAACTGCAACGGAAGTAAGGGATCAACTAGGCCCAAATAAGCGCAAAGTTCTGGGTTCAAATCTTAAAAAATCAATAATTGGTTTCGGGAAGGGCAAAGAAGTCAGATCAACTTCTTGCTTTGTAAAAGAATCGATCAGTTAAACGAACATACAAATGTGTTGTGTTGGGCTTTCTTTTTGTGATTAAAGTGTTAAAATGCAAACTAGACCTTGGATATTTTTTTTCGTCTGTGTGTAGTGCTTGGAACACAATATAGGCTTTATTTTATTAAAATCAGATGCAATTGAAAAACGTTTGTCAGTTACTTTATTTGTCAAACAAACAAGAAAATTAAAACAAACTTATTGTTTTGTTTTCGTCCTAAAGACTTCTTTAATGTCAGGGCTGCCTGGCAGTGATATGAATTGCTCCTTAGGTTACTAAATTCACAAAAATGTAATAGTTTGTAAGACATGTTGAAAAAAGCCAGACTGAGTTTCTTGGGTGTTCTTCTCGGTTATGTTGCTCTTTTGAACACTGTAGAATCACGACGAACGGACAGACAAACATATTATTTAAAAATTTTTTGACGAATCTAAATAATTTTTATAATTTTACAGAGAATAAAGTAAATTTTATTTTATCAATTAAGTAAGTTTTTGTTTGATAAGCCGCCGTCACATTTTAAGTACCAAATTGTCTCCACAAAAATTTTCGTGTAAAAGATTTTGTTTATCTTTATTTCTTGAAATGCAAGTGGATACAGTAATAATTTTGTCATCTCGTCCTTAATATTAAAATTACCTTATTTTAGTTGTTCATGTAGCTATCGAAAAGGTATCCAATATGAAACCGGTCCTTTCCGTACCAAAGCAACAACAAACAGGTCCCAAATATTCCACGATACCAAACCCGAGATCGGCCAATTACGCAAAAAATAAACACGAAAATTTACTAGCAACTTAATAAGTAATAAAAACTACGTTTTATGACTTAGGCGGACAGACAAGAAATTTACTAATTGGATGGTAAAATACCCTAGACATATAACATCTAAACAAAATGCGCTGTCGGCCTATTTATGAGTCGCTAGATTTCCAGATCAAGTTTTAGAAAAATTAGAAATTTATTTTAATCAACATACTGTCAACAGTAAAGTTTTGAAGTAACAATGGAATGACTTTTAGGGTATATTATTTTTTAATACCACCCAACACTATCAATAATCTGAATGTATATACATTTAAAAAATCGAAAATAAATTGAAGATAATTTCGACTCGGGCAGGACTTGAACCGACATCGTTAGCGTTCCGTGCTGTTGCTCCAACCAATTGAGCTACTAAATACCTACCTATATCAAAAGTACTATTTTGGTTCGGAAAATTATTTTGACTACGTTTAAAATAAGTTTAACTAATATTTATCGTGTTTTAAACCGTTAAAGTGTTTTATTTAAATGTGTATATTATTATAAGAAAACTGTTCCCAACTAACCTTGCAGCGGTATAAAAGCCAGCATAAATCCAACACCCACAATCGCTGCCCAGTTGATCTCCAGCCACATGAAGTAGGTGATGATGATGGTGGCGAGTGGTCCAATCCAGAGGTAGTGCAGGAAAATGATGGCCACGTCGAAACGGTTCACGTCGTTTGAAAGGAGGTTCACCACCTGCCCGACTGTAGTCTCGCCTAGTGCTGTTTTCGATAGTCGAAGGGACTGTAAAGTAAAAATCAGTATAATTTATATGTATATAGATGAGTTTTACACGCATTACATTGCAGCCGTGGCCACGGGGAATTGAAAATTCAATAGGCAGTACTGCCGCAAGTTATCAAAGGTCGGGGATCCCATATTAAAAACACTAGATCCCAAAACCGAGAGGGCACTGTTAGTCAGTTTTACAAGTACTCAGCTAATTTAGACTCCTTCTTTAGTCGTCCCCCCCCCCCCCAACCCTCGTGACCACGGCAGCTGCGCAGCAAACGTAACGTTGACCAATTAAAAATATTTATTTACATGTGCAATACTCGCGAAAATTCAATGTAAGTTATCTCAGTAAGTTGTATGTTATAGTTTACTTATTGACCACAAAATATGCTCATGCGCATATTTGACGCATGACCTAAGGAAAACATGCTTAAAACTAAAAAACACGTCAGAACAAGAAACTCAACGAAGTGGAAAATTAAAGTACTATTTGTATGATTAACTATAATGTACGTACGTTTAGGCCTGTTGCAGATAAGCAATTTTAAGTGTGTTATAAAAAAATATGTTTATGGTTCTGTACACCATATACCACAAACATTATACTAAATAAATATTAGAAGCCTGACAACCGTCATTGGGGCATTATTGTTTGTAGTTTACACAGTAAATAAACAGTATTATTCTATTCTATTAACGGTTTAAATTACAGCTATATATTTAAGCATCTAAAACGTCGAGTTGTACTTTAATATATATTCCATGTTTTAAATCGTTTGACTTAATCTCCAATTAAATTAATTTACTTATGAGTACAGATTACAGAAATCAAACGGAAACATCACAATCTCGGTAATACATCAAAAGAAATAGTAAAAAGTACAGATATTTCCTTATCTATTATAATATTTATTGCATTACTTTATTAGAGGTATTTTATATTAGCACGTCGTGCAACCAATTAAAATACATTTTGTAGTTATGATCTATACTAATATTATAAAGGTGAACAGATTGTTTGTGTGTTTGCACGCGCTAATCTCAGGAACTATTCATTCGTTCGAACTGTAAAATTATTTTTGTGTTGTTTGGAACATTTATCGAGGAAGGCTTTAGGCTACAAAACATCACGTTGACTAATAAGAGCGAGAAAACAGTAGAAAATGTAAAAAGCAAGGAAATGTTTTTATCTTTACGAGATTGCGTTGCGCGGCACTGCCAAAGCGGTTCGAGATACCAAAAAAAGGAAACATTAAATTATTATAGTATTATTTTTTAAATAATCTAACAAATGTCCAAGACGTATATATATTATACCTTTTAAGCAAACCAAACGCAAATGTTCAGGCTGGAATTGCATTCCCGCAAAATGTGCATGCATCGATAGGTTGAAAAAATCGCGAGACGCGTATGTATGTCGGTTCAAGTCCTGCCCGTGTCGTATTTTTAAAATTAATAATCGATTTTTAATCTATATAGTGCCATCGTGTGCAATAATATGGAACAAATATGAGTGTTCAAGCGAAATTTAATTAGTAAAGATGAAAAACAAAATTACCGCATGCCACCATGAAACACAAGGAGGCAATAAGTACATTCTGCTGGATTGTAATTTACCATCATGTTGTCATCTCTTGACCAATCAGAATTACGGAAACGATTACAGTCTCATTAATTTCAATTCAATAGACATAATATTATTTATTAAAATCACTTCCTTAAATCCTGTCTGTAGTTTACGCGAGTAGTATGTATTTAAATAAAACCCTTCAACTGTTTAAAACGCGATAATTAAACTTGCTTAACAATTATTTTAACTACAGCCCGACGTTTCCAATCCAAAATATGATGCTGCTGAATAGTTTTTAAATAAGTTTAACTAATATCCGTGGTCTCCCCGTGACCACGGCTGCTGCAAAGCATCCGAAACGTCGGGCCGAAGTAAAAAAAAATTTCAAATAAGTTTAACTAATATATCGCGTTTTAAACCGTTAAAGTGTTTTATTTAAATGTGTACTACTCGCGTAAACTATAGACAGTATTTAATATATATCACGTTCAAAACCGCTGAAGTGTTTTATTTAAATCTCTTCCTTAGCTCTATTGTATAACGTGTTTCGCGTTAAGCAAGAGAAAAGTCCTAGCTTTGATTTTTTTTTATTAACCTATATTGTCGCGTTGGTTGTTGAGAGTACATAGCGTCGTTGGTTAATTAAAAACTACCCGCGTAAGTGATTTTTGTAGTTTGAATGGAAGTTAAATGGCTTTAAGTCGGATTTAACTTAAAACCTATTAAGGCAACTACCTAGTTATATTTGTAATATTTACGTTAACTTCAAACATTATTATACATACGGCAGACAATTTTGTGTATACGCTGATCGACTTTGTGTCACTTATTTCCCTTTCGACACTTTGTATATTATGTTGTTCGGAAATCGAACCCAGAACGTTTCGTGCTACACAATACAACCTATAGCAAGTAAATACCCACAAAAGCGGTCACTGATTAAATAATCATGTTCATTTCATATTTACAAGTACTAATCGTCAAAATTGGCAAGTGATTTATGTAGATATAGACATAATGTATGTATAGTCTAAACGTGTTATCGAATTTAAATATAGATGCGTTTGCGCATATGATTGAAAGAAGTGAATACAAATGAGAGCTTAGATTGTAATTTATGACACAGCCGGGAGTCAAACCAACGACCTGATAAATTTCAATAGATCTATACTAATATTATTAAGAGAAAATGTTTAATTGTTTGTTTAAAATGAATACGGTCTAAAATTACTCGATCGATTTGGAAAATTATTTTACTATTTGAATTAAAAATCGTTTTTTTTTTAATTACGACTCGGGCAGGACTCAGCGTTCCTGCTATTGCTCTAACCAATTGACTCGGTAGCTCGATTGGATTTTAATTCATATAAGTGCCATCATATGCAATAACATGTGAAAATTATTAAAGCGTTCAATTTTTTTTTTTATATTTTCGATTGTTATAAAAGCTTTTTTATGTATACTTGGTATAAAATAAAATAAATTACATCATATTGTGTGTAAAATTGTATAACTTTTAAAAACGATGTTTCATATCCGAGCCAAGCCGGGGCAGGTTGCTAGTGTGTGATAATCGGTTTTTCACCATGACTAATAACGACTCTGCAAGACGATCTTGCGGGTTTAAAGTACAGAGTACAAAGTAGTCGCCATGACTTGAACATATTTATATTAATATTTACCACATGTTCTACAATTGCACATTGTCTCGAATGTTTAGTCTTAAAGTTTTAAATAAAGCGATTACAGGTCGTGTGTTTGATTCCTGCTGGGTCCAAAATTTAATAAAAATACATTTTCTGATTCTACCAACGATATTAAAAAGTATATGCTTAATTGGAAAAGTTACGTACATTTGCGTGTCGATTACAGTTTGTACATGTGCATACGCAAAATGGGTCGACGACGCATAATAATTCTTAGATGTTGTAGGCCTTGCACCATTCATCTAGTAGAAACTTTGTTCTACAATAAAAGAGTCATATAATTATGGCTTCTAGTGCAAAGTTACTTGATATTCCTAAAGTTTTCAACAAAGATACACGACACAGTAGCTCAATTAGTTAGAGCAGCGGCACGGAACGCTATGGGTGCCGGTTCTTCTACAGTCAGGGTTTATTAATTAAACAAAGAAACATCTGACAGAGGCCTTACAAGCATTGGTATCACTTATCCCATCGCCGATTTTTCCCGAAATGGGGCGGACACATTTCTATGTCCGTTTCAATAGTTGATCACTGATCAGATTTACTGGCAAATAGTTGATCAGACTTCTGTGCCCTGTCCGACTAAATAATCTATTATTTTCCGGGTATTCGAAATCAGGTCGTGTCGCCTTAACGCAGTAGCCATAAGACAAGATATGCTATGGACCTACTTCGTCGGCTTTGTACATTTCGAAATCCACAGATTAAAAACAAAACATAAGGGCTTTTCCATCTATGAGCGTAACCCAGAAATTCGATTGCCAACCATTATTGATTGTTTTAGTAAAATTATAAACACATTTTTATAAAGACGTTGGACCTTGATTGGACATTGAGCTACCACAGAACGACTCGACCGTTTAAAATACAGACATATTAAAATGTCTGTATATAAGATATATAATTGTAATAAATCAATAGTAACATAACTTGTAATATAAATCTGTTTATAAGTTGAATAACGGCTATGCTTGCAAGTGGCCGCAGCTCGTTATCGACTCATTCGAGCACGTGGCTCGTTGCCATGGTAACAATATTATACACGCACTATACTTTGTAGGATGATCAGTTTCAAACTATACAATATTAAACTAACTTCGAATTAATAGCAAAATAATGTTAGACATGAATAAAGACATTTTTAGAATAATTTATGTACAATGAGATTAATATAACGATTTTATTAGTTGGTCTATATATATAGGCCAATAAGCATGATAGAGAGTAGTTTTAGTACATTTTAGCAAAAATTATCAAAATACATAAGACACACTAGGTATATAAATAAATGCTCGCTCACAGCGATTAGTTCCGCAATGATAATATTGAATACCAGAAGCATAGTAAATAGTGTTCGTATACGCGAGTAGTACACATTTACATAAAACACTTTAACGGTTTAAAACGCGATATTTATTTATTATATTAGTTAAACTTATTTGAAACGTCCGGCCGTTGTTAAAATAATTTTCAAATTAATATATGTCGCGTTTTAAATAGTTAAAGTGTTTTATTTAAACAGAAGCATAGTTACAAATTTTTTTTGAACAATTTAACATTTCTATTAGAATTAAACAGGACAACGAAATAAATTGGAGATCTGTTCATATGACTATAACAAGCGACACTGTTTCATATCAATAATTCCAAGTCAACCATGTTTAGATGACAGCGTAACAGTCGGTTAAATTTAATCAACATCAATTCTTAGTGAAACCGGCCAAGCGATTAAAATAGAAAAACTGACGCGTATTAACGATAATCTCGTAAGCACTCACCTTTCTATAAATAAGTGAACAGCACGCGACCCTGAACTTCATGCCCATGTGTAGAATGGCCATCATGTACGGATGTACCACGAAGACGTTCAACGCGGAACATATGACCACCCCACCAGCGTACAGGTACGCCTCCTTCGGCTTCATGGTCTTCTGCTCGGGGCTGTAGTACTCCACCAGCTTGCCAAGGAACACGGGCTGCGCTATGCTGCAAAACCGACTTGATTATTAGCAAGGATCTTGCTGCAGGAAATGAGACAGATTGCGGATATAAACTAGGAAATGTATTGTAGGTCGTTCGGATTCTCTTTATAAGACGGACACGCATGAGGTACACTTGATGTTCGGTGAATTACCTCAGGCGTATGACATCGAGGATATGCTGTCGACCTATTTTGGTTTTGGGTATTTGGAATCCTACAGATTGAAACTGAAATTCTGTTAACCTTCACAGCTTCAAACGAAGTCCATGATGTATAAATTTATTAAAAACATATTGGACCTACGACCTGTTGAATATTAGTCGAACGTATTTAATTAATCCTGTGACCGACACATACGCATGACACAAAACACGATGCGCTATCGACCTATTTTCATTTAAAGTCTGATTCCATGCGATGCATTCAAAACTACTTCTACAGACTCTAAACATGATAAACTAAATACATACACTAAAATAGACTCGAGCTAAAAAAATATAAATCCGATAAAACGGTTCTAAAAGTGCAATAACTATACCTAAATTGGAAAATTACAATACGTATTTTCAATTGCTATTTATAATTTTTCTATCATGCTTCTTATGTTATTTTAAATAACTATCAAGAACAAACATATTAGGTAATGGATGTATAATTAAAACATTTATCTTTTTGCACAGTAATGAGAGCTTACATATTAAGAAATAATTGCACAATGGATTATTTTGATAAACAAATCAATTTACAGTGGATCAAATGTGATCGAAAACTTTTAATATTTTCCACACGATGGCACTATATAAAATCGAAAAAATTTGACGACTCAATTCGGCTTAATCGGTTAGATCAACAGCACGGAACGCCGTTGATGCCAGCTCAAGTCCTGCCCGATTCGTATTTTTTTCAATTTATAAACGAATTTAATTTTATGTTAACATCGATGACACGGGCGGTACTCGATCCTTGATCCACAGCGAACTGTGCTGCTAATCAATTGAACTACCGTGTGTACTTTTTTTCTTTAAGCTCTCATGCGCATGTGCATCTTTTTCCAAATTGGAACTACGTGAAGCTAACAGATCTAATGATTTAGAATCGATTCCTTTACTTAATATTGAGGGTCGAGTTATCCTTCACTCTTACGACCTGGTTACTCAGTTCCAAGAGCCGTCTATGCAAGTAAATCTTCTGATCGCGAGTGAAGTAGCCGATGAGGATACCGAGCAAACGCGGTTGTTGTATGCTAGAGGAAAAAGTGGGAAGGACTTAAAACAGTTCTGATAAATCAATGGACTTAAACTTTAGAACGTCTAAAAAAATCGTCTCGCTTATAAAAAAACCGGCCAAGTCAGAGTCGTATTCATATAAGGTTACGCCACGTATCTTCGAAAAATATTTGCTATTAATTTTATTTATTATGGCTTTATCAGATTATTCAGAAACAACATATGAGAGGAGAAAAATGTTACATAGTAACTTATAAAGAAAAGGCATTCTTATCGCTAAGCAGCGATCTCTTCCAGGCAAGTACAGGAATGAAATACAGCTGTAAATTTTGGTTTTGTCAATCGTAGATAAACAAGAGAGTTTCAGTAATTACACAATTCTCCGTTTTACGGTGGTACTAAATATTATACTATAATAAATTAGTATTAAATAAAGGACAAAGTTTCATACATTACATTACATTACACTATTTTCGTGCGATAAGGATAAAAATAGTTAGCCTTTTGTTTTAACACCTTTGTGAGGTAAATAATTCCGCATAATCTTATGTATTTATGAGTTTTATAATTTATCAAAGAATGCGAAGCGTTACTACTTATAAATAACCAACTAAGAACGACTAAGATACAGTGATGAAAAATTCACTATCAGGTTTTAAAAGTTTGATGGCATTGCTCGTATAGACTGCTTCCTTCTTTCTATCTATATAACATTGTGTTCTGTAAGGACCAGTTAGTTCCCTCAAATATTCCCACGAAAGAAGTGTCGTAAGCTTAGCAATTTTGATTTTGAAATTAGCGGCACATTTTTGGTCTTCTCGTGACCACGGCTCCTGCAAACCACACGAAACGATGAGCCGCAAATCAAATTAGTTACCCAATATAATTTTTTTCGTTTAAAACCATTAAAATTGTTTCATTTAAATGTGTACTATTCCCGTAAACTACAGACAAACTTATAATAAACTAGCTGTGCCCGCGACTTCGTCCGCGTGAAATAGTGAATTGGGGTAGAATTTTTAATTATTGAGGCTGTTTATTAATTTATGAAGAGGGCATTTAAGGCAGCCAATCTATGGTACGTGCTCCTTTGCCGCAACACTCTCACCTCACATCACTCCTACTCTAACTACCAATCTCATTCCTACACTTACTCCCACTATCACTCCCACGCCCACGCCTACCCTTACTCCCACTCCCACTCCCACTCCTATTCCCAAAAAGCTAAAGAAGAAAGTTTCATTGTTCTAGCTTCAAAAACCACGAATTTCCATACAAACTTTCATCCCTCTTTTAACCCCATACAACCCCCTTTCCGCAATAAAAACCTATATCCTTTCTCAAGGTCTAGACCATCTGTATACCAAATTTCATTCAAATCCATTCAGTAGTATTGGCGCCAAAGAGTAACAGACAGACAGACAGACAGACATAGTTACTTTCGCATTTATAATATTAGTAAGGATTAAATACTGTAGTTTTCGCGAGTAGTACACATGGTGTCTACAACGTCAAGTCATAGTTACAGTACAATAACACGTTTTAATTTAGACATGCCCTGCCTTATCTAAATTACCAAGTATCAACTCAAAAAAACAGTTGCATTTTTTGTGCACTGAAAACTACAAAAAAAAATGTGTTTTACTAGTGTAGCCTTTTCATTTGATACCCATATCGAGGGGGTTAAGGAAATATATTATGTGAACCGCCATTTTGTATTGGCGGCCATCTTGGATTTATGATATGATAATGTTTCTGATTTTATTATATTCTATTGGCATCTTTATTAAATGTGTGTGCTAACAGATCAATCTGACAACGGGAAGGTGCTTAAATTTCAATTACAAATTTTGACCCAAATAAAATAAATTCCGTACTGATTGAGCTAAATAAAACTGTTTAAAAAGGAAAAAAATCGGTGGATTGAACTTTTGAAGTAAATAAAATGATTTTAATCAAGCAAACTTGCAAGTGAATTGTACAATATAATTGGCATAACCGAACCACACCTGTATAACGTCCCAGCCTTACGCTGTAACGTCCTTCAGCATAGACTATACTAACATCAGGATTGTATGGCTAGTCATGAGTTATCAATATAAATCGTAGAGTATAAAAAGCACTCGTTAATTAAACAAAATAATATTAATGTTAACTTAGTTAATTGCATTATGTAAAAACTGTTAAAAATGTGTATATTTTTTATGTCAACAAGAGATTTTAAAATACTTGGCCATGTTAATATAAACATTGCTTATTATAGAAGGATAACATCCTTATTAATAAATATTAACTGATACCTTTATAATATCAAATTAAGTAAGTAATTCGGATTTGGTCAACGGATATTTAATAACTAATATTTAAAAATTCTTAATTCGTTTTACCAAAAGTTGGCAACCCTATTAACAACAGCTGTATTCTTAGCGCGTAATGCAACACGCTATTATTTTACAAGACAGGATTTTGCACGACAATAATTGAATTAGCACCTAGTGGCTCTTCAGCACGTAGGAAATTTTTCACTTACTTACTTTGTAGCGAAGGTATTTCTCGAAAGAGGTGTCTCTATTATTTCACTGAGCAAAGGAACGTTGCAAAACGTAAGAATAATGCGTAAACGTCAAAAGATCTCTAAGGCCATGTCACGACAGAATTATTTCTCAATAAAAGTTGTACAAAAAAGATATCAACATCGGCGCAACATATTTCGACAAAGCTCCGAGTATTGTGTGTAGTTTACGCGATTTAGTAAAACACTTTTAACGGTTTGAAACGCGAGATATACTAATTAACTTAATACAATTTTTATTGACATTTACACCCGGCATCACAACCCCGGTGTCCACGGCTGCTGCACAGGACCCGAAACTTCCGATTAAAAGTTAATTTAAAACGCTTCGAATTAATCAACTGATTTCGCTTTGATTGAGAATACTTTTATAACACAGATATCTAGATTAAAGACGCCACGCGCCATTGATTTAATATTCATAAACTCAAATAACATTTTCGATATAATCTACCATCGGTCAATAACCTAATTCATGTTTTTACAAGACTATAAAAAAATACTTGGTACTGGAAAATTGACGGGTTCTTTGATCTCATGATAGTAACGTATTATTAATAATAATCGATAGATCACTGGTTCGATATCCGTCGAATCCACACTGTTTATTATCAAATTTATATATTTTTTTAAACTGTTGAATTTTGAAAACCCTAAATATTAAATGTTGAAATTCTGGATTGTCACAAGGCAACGTCCACAGAAAAAAAGGTAAGTTCAAACGCGTTTCAGTTTGAGTCTGTAGATTTCCGATTATCCAAAGTCAAAAGATCGAGAGTGCATATTGTTTAAACGTAAAATGTCTGGGATCTTTCACCCATCATCGAATGAACTATGCTTGCCTGTCCTCCGCTATAATAAAAACAATCCGGAATTTGAATGAGTGGTATTAATTCCAGATTGTCACAAGCCAACGTCCACAGATGAAAAGCCATGAAGTTTCAGCCGGTAGATTTCTGAATGTCTGAACATAGGACGACAGCACATTTTTTAATGTATATAACATTCTGGGATAATTCATCATTCGACCCATATTTGCCTGTCCTCCTTTATTTTAATCACTACATAGTATAAAACAAAGTCGCCTTTTCTATCCCTATGTGCCATTAAATCTTCAAGCTACGCAACGGATTTCGATGCGGGGTTTTTTAATAGATAGAGTAATTCCAGAGGAAGGTTTTTATACATATACCCTTACAGTTTTTCT